CCAAAGCTTTTCTGTGTACCTAAACGCACAGTGAGAGCCCTGCTCGGCATTGAGTATAGACCAGAGTCCTCACGAACATCGGTATTTGATCAAGGATATAAGCTCACTCCGATCGGAACCCCTACAACGACGGAGTAGGTATCAGAGTCCAGATGATTCCGTCAAGGCCACCTTTGCTCTCATCACTTACCTTCTCTCGATGCCGACAGCCCATCATCGGCATCAGTCACACCCTCGCCCACGCCAACTTCCACGCCAACACCAACTTGCCAACAATGAGCCCAGTGTCTTGTGGAAAGCATCATCCGTCCAATGCGCACCAAACACACCCCGCGTGTCTCCCTTGCAAATGTTGGCTCATGTAATACATTTCTTGCTGACCGATACTTTCTTGGCTTCCTTGCTGCTTCGTAAATCGTCCTCTAGCTAGCCACGTCAAACACAATGCAGGGCAAGCGCTGCGGTCCTCTCGAGCTGTGAGGCGTCTGGACCTCGATCGATGCATGGATCCGCCCATGGAAGTTTCCAGCACCCCTCCACTGACTCATTGACTGGCCCGCTGGAGGAGGGATGGGGGTCGACCGATGCACCTGATGGGCGGTTTCACTTAGCGTCGACGCCACAAACTTCTGAAAGCAGTAAGTGCCAGGGTCTGCTTCTTGAGTTCGTCATGCCGCATGGACGCTGGGGAGCCAACACGGGGCTTGCCCACCAGTCCGAGGGCTGGTGCGGATACTTCTTCCCGAGGACGTTTAACCCAAGGGCGTAATGGGTAGACTTTTGTCTGATTTGCTCTTTTACCTGGCACTTATTTGAAAACTGGGCCGATCGCGAATCTGGTGGATGAGCTGGCCAATGAATCTTCTCTCAGGCCGTACAGCGCTTGGGTCTTCTACGTGACCTACTTTGATCCTTGCCACGGTTCCGAGAAGCCGATAAGTCATGTGCTCGGTGGTGTGAACAACCCCATCGTCAGTTGCAATCCTACACAAGCATCCGTCTTGTAAAAGCAGCAGCTCATCCCAGCAGGGCTGAGCTTTACGAAGCTGGGAAGGTGCCAAGATGGACATATTCCACATGAGGCAACCGCCCTCATCAGTCTAACAACGCGTGGCCCTGATATGATTGGTTTTCTTTGCCGAACCGGCTGTTTTCCAGTCCCGATGCTCTCCTCGCAAGTAATTGCAGAACAAAGCAACTTGAACCCTTGCTAAAACTTTATGAGAGCGATACGAAGGATCAAGTCTTCATACCCTCTTCCGAGATTTCCAGGAGTCTTGCTCCTCTGCCAGCTTATGAGACTTGTCGGCAACCCATATCCGTTGGCATGCAGTTGACATCCCCATCAGTCGACGCTGCTGACAAGATGCCGCTGCCTTACATTTATCAGTTTTAGGATATTCATCAATGCATAGCGGCTTGGTAGGGGCCGCCCGGACCGCCAGGTCGAGCTACCGTTGAAACCCACACTTTTCCAAATGGACCCCTAGGGATCTGCTGCTTGAAGCCACCCTCAGCACCGTGAGCACATGGTGTGTGGTCATCCTGGTGGACCCTTGATCGGCAATTTCATAGCTGGAATAGGTAACTTTTTAAAGCACCTACCCAAAATGGCAGTGAATTTGAAACTTATTTTCCCTCTGCCCTTTTTGCTGCGTACACTGCAGTATCTGTCTTGCTTGTATGCAGTGAGAATAAAGTCAAGACCTAGTTCCGACTTAGAGTAATGGTGATGAGACAGAATTAGAGAGGGCTGTGTATCCATCAATTCCGTGCATAGACGATCGATCAGGGGGAAATCCGACAGCGCATTGCTCTTCGGGCAGAACGCAGGCAGCGAAAGCTGTGCAACATCTTTGTCTCTGCCGAACGGGACGCAGCCCACATGGCTTTCCAATATTGTGACGTTGCATTGTACTGTAGGTACGGTGTATGGAGTGCGGAGTACTTGTACCATAGATAGTGCGAAGGAAGGAGCAGCAATTCCCACACCAAAGCGGATGTTCGGGCCTTGAAGCGGATGCTACTCTTTCCTTGTTGAAGCGTCGGAATAAGACTCCGTGATATGTACAGTATGTACTGTCACCTGTAGTTGTGATCAGATAAGATATTGCTCCCCTTGAAGGCCAGCACAGGACATATGTAGGTGAGCCTTACTTTTCGTAGCCAGTCACTCCATCAGAGAATTCTTAGGTAAAATTTTACAAAGTACATCTGCAGGTACAGGGCCTCAATCACGTTGTGGGGGATAAAATGTCGTAGAGAGCCGACGTCGCCTCGACGATTCTGTACCTCGGGCTTCTTCCCTAGACATTTTCGAAAATTTGCGTCGGGCTTGTGTAGCGATTGCGTGGGTGCAGCGTTTGTTGAGTGCATGCCGTAGGTAGAGACTTGGGATTGCGCGTCGAAGGGCAAATCTCACCATCCGTTAGGGCTTGAGCAATGTCGTATGTCGATATATCCCGAGTATCCTAAGCTCTGACACGAGAGCTGTTCGGGCAATCGCCTACCGAGTTCAACACCACTTAAAGGCCGGAGAGATGACTGAATTCGTCTTGGCCCAGATCTCGTTTAGATTAATACAGACTCACACAAGATTGAGCGACACTAGAATAAATCCCCACTATCGTGGCAAAAGTACCTGGTGCTGCTGGCAGCACAGCTATTGGGAGCGACGAATGACTCGATCAATAATGAGCCATCTAATTGGGACACCGAGCTAATATGCCACGCAGATGAGACGGGGACGAAGCTTTTCGTGCCACATCAAGGCCACATCCACCTCCATTATTACCCGGCGTTGGCCCAGAGATAACCCGACGACCGCCCATTTGTACCGAGTACCCGGAATTAGATAGTCGCGCCGGGTAATAGCAGCTGGGTCCTCATACAATTTAATGAATAACAGGCTGTCAAACCTGAGACCCAACGTTGCAAGGTGAGCGGAGCTGGCGTCGTACAACACTGTCGCAAGCCTGCTTCACTCGGAGAAGGCCGAGGCCGCTTTTCGTTCTTCAGACTCCTGCTGAATCCATGCATGAGCCTACCTTGAATTCTAGACCCATCCACGCAACCCTGAGAAAGTCGATTAATGTTGTTATGGAATCCTCATCACTGGACGGTAGCATTGAGATCTCCTGACTGCCGAGGATTCTTATTTAACTCCGGCCTGACTCTGACGTTGAGTCCGCTCAAGGAGTCGTCCGCAACCTCGTGGCAGACCCCTTCCATAGGGATGAGGGTTACACGACTTCAGCGTTGACCACGAGGAGTGACGGCCATATGTATGTGAGCTTCAGTCCACAGATAAACGAGTACTCCGTACCGTGGATCTGGCCTCCTGCAAGATATCTGGCAACCCAAGCTTCAAGGCTGAAGGTCCCTTCGCCTAAATTGCTGGCACCTGCCGTGACGGTCCGCAGCAAGCATGTTGAATCCTTCTCGACCTGTTCGCAAATGATTGACTTGACCGTAGTTCATGCACAGGATTTGATCCCATCTGTACTAAGGGATCCTGGAAGCGAGCGCCTTTCAGCCTCGAATCCGAAGAGCAACATACAAGCACAAGGATCCCATTCTGGCCAGGGAGTTTATATTAGAGGAAAGTCCCTTCCTCTCTCGTTTTATTCCAGGACCGTAACCGATCGAAGCCAGTGTTTCTAAGGTACAGGCATCAAGTATTTAGAGCAAAGGGGGGAGACGCAACCAGAAAGGAGTCTCGAGACCTTCGCCTACGAGAACAAAGGACATTACGGATCATGTCGCGTGTACAGTATTCAGAAAAAGTTCATTTGGTGACACAGGCGACTGGAACGGAGTGGTACAACGGGATGGGCAACATGAAAAGGATTTTGCGATTGAAACACAACAAAACGTGGCGAATGCGTGCTGCTGTCAGGGCGGACCCCTGAAGGGAAAAAACACGAAGGGATGAGTACTTTTGGGGGCTGATCCCCAAGACTTAGTGAGCCATTGTTAAAGGACGCCCTGATTAGGGGCAGCCATAAGTAGATTAGGGAGGCTTAGGGAACCTTAGAGGAGTTTTAAGGGCACCTTCAGCAGCCATAAGCCCCCTCGAAAGAGCCGATCTTGGCCCATTTCAATCTACTGGCGCATGGGCGGCCCCTGTTCGGTGCATCGTTCTAAATCTTCTTCTAGACCGTATTGGTACCTTAGTGGTGCCTTAGCGGTGCCTTAGCGATACCTGTTGGGTGCCTCTCCAATTCCCCCCTATGATCCACTGTTGCCGACCAGCAGCCACCATCTTCGATCTGCGTCCTGTGCGCTCTCCTACAGGCTCTTACAGGCTCCCACAGGCTCCTCCAGGAGGGTTTCTACCCTTGGCTCCGGCGCCCTCCAGCCCGGATACAAATCACGCCCCGATGCTCCCCGGCCACTCACAGCTCTAGCGATCAGGTCCTTCCAATTCAAACTGCTGAAGCTTGCAAAGCTTCCTCTCCACCAGCTCTTTCACCACGCTTCACCCAAACCTGTAGCCACCACCAGCCAGTACCTCCACCTCCACCTTGCAACTTGCACTTGCACGCATCCAACACCTCTTACCATACTCTATCTGTCTATCACCCTTACCCAGCACCACGACTGCTTGAGCACTGTACCTTTGCGAGCACACGAAGGGGAATCACCAGACGCAAACTGCATCCATCTTCCATTGTCGATATCTCCTAGTGGCTGTGTTCTTTTTGAGGTGAGTTGGATTTGCCATTGAGGCCTTCATCTGTCAGGCTTTTTTGCCGGTCGCAACATGCCCCCTGCCAGTTGCTAATCACGGGTTATTTGCATCAGGTCCTTCATCCTATTCGACAGCGGATTCGTATCCTGAGCTTCCCCCAGCCCACCTCTTCAACGCCATCATTCTCAACAAGGTCGAGAATGATTCAGTGACAGCCAATTGAAATAGTCTATACCACACTGCACTGTCGATATCAACCGACCGCGATCACATCCTGTGAGTTGCTAGTGATCGCCGCGCTGTCACGATGGGCTGCACAGGGTCGAAGCTAGATCCGCGGGAAAAGGAGGCGTCACAACAGAACGCAAAGATTGAACGTCAATTACGTCAAGATAGAAGATTGGAGTCTCGGACAGTCAAGATCCTACTGCTGGGTATGCGACCTTGGTTCGGACGTCGTTGTTTCTCTCACAGGCCACTAACATAGACACAGGTGCGGGTGAATCTGGAAAGTCGACTATCATCAAGCAGATGCGCATTATCCATTCTAGTGGATTTCAGGATGACGAGCGCGTGCAGGTGAAGGCCGTCATATTTTCCAATGTCGTTATCGCCTTCCGCGTTCTGTACGAAATCATGCAAGATGAAGGGATTGACTTCGCGGACGAGAACAACGAAGCCTATGCCGAATACCTCGAGAACATTAATGCCGACGTCGATGCGCATGAAGCATTCCGAGATAAGAGAGTAAAGGAGGCCATGATTGCGCTGTGGAAGGATGCCGGCGTACAAATGGCCGTCGCTAAAGGCCATGAATTCGCGCTGCACGACAATCTGACCTTTTACTTTGACAACATCAATCGCATGTTCGAGCCGGACTGGCTCCCCAACGACCAAGACATGCTTCATGCTAGACTCAGAACAACCGGCATTACCGAAACCGTCTTCGAGCTCCAACAACTGACCTTCCGCATGATGGATGTGGGAGGACAAAGGTCTGAACGTAAGAAATGGATCCACTGCTTCGAAGGTGTCCAGTGCCTGCTTTTCATGGCCGCCTTATCCGGATATGACCAGTGCCTCGTGGAGGATGTAAATGCCAACCAGATGCACGAGGCTCTGATGCTGTTTGAATCATTGGTCAACGGGGAGTGGTTCAAGGACAAGCCTATTATCCTGTTCCTCAACAAAATAGATCTCTTCCGAGAGAAGCTGCCCATATCACCGCTTTCAGCCCATTTCCCCGACTATACTGGCAAAGATGGCGACGAAGAAGCTGCCAAGCAATTCTTTGCCAACAAGTTCCGATCCATCAATCGCAACAGCAACCGAGAAATCTATATTCATTTCACCAACGCAACTGACACGAATCTTCTCAAGAAGACCATGGAAGACGTGCAGGATATTCTGATTCAGAAGAACCTCCAACGACTTGTTTTGTAATGAGGCAGAACCAAGAGTTTTCTGGTGGTGGGAACCCCAGACTCTCCTTCGATCTCGGCGGCACAGTACAACACGAAATCAAAGCATGGTCTCTCTAAGGGGTCAAGTTGAGATATCTCAGCGTTCGACTTGGCATTTGTTGCATTTTCCAAGGTGGTAAGGTGTGCAAGACTCGGGCATATTCTATCCATCAAAAAGGAGGCAATTCTATCTTTCGTTTCTTTCTTGCAGCGTTGGCGCATAGGAAATGCTTCTAGGACGGCATACGATTGTTTCGGTCCGTCAAAAATCTTCGACATGATCGATCAGCGATGGATGTGAATAAGGGAGAAGCTTCCGCAATGACTGTAGATGTGAGAATGAAGGGGGATTTGGCACTGATCTGCCGGACAGAGCAAGCACGCCCTCTGGGGGGCGCCGAAGGTCGTTTCCTTCAGGCCGCTCAAACGTGGAGAGGTATTGTTGGATGTGAGGTGGCCAGTCTAGAACAAGTGTCTCCAATACCTCTGTCTAGGAGCAGGACACGGAAACATGGGATGTCTGGAAATGCTTTCATGGATAAGTGTCAGAGACGGCACTCGGGGCATTATCAGGTCGGGCCGCCGCAGGCAAGGCGCTATACTCTCCTGCAGTGGACTTCCCTTTTCTTGGGCGTCATTGCCCTCCTTTTGTTCGGTCTCGGTGTTCACTGGTGACAGTAGTACCTGCCATATTGCGAGCTGGAAAGGATAATAATATTCACTCTCACCGTGCTTGCCGATTCTATCTTATACAAGTCGAGCCTGCTGCTGCACTGTCCCCTGCCATTCATAATGAGGCTTCTTTCCTTCGTTCTTCGACCATATCTCTCTTCATATGGACCATTTGTCACCCGAGTCTCCCTCACTAATGCCCCATTCAGTCCGTTTTTCTCATTCCCATTCGCCCATGCATCGAACCGGGTCGTGTCCGATATTACGATCGGATCATACCGCCATAAGACGGCCGCGGAGATGGGTGTTGTCCTGCCAGTGACCCGGTTTGATCATGTACCTTTTTGGGGGGGGCAGGAGAGACTCGGCGCGGAAAGGTTTACCGTTTGATAGAGCCCTCGATTCTGCGTCACAACTCCCCGTCACCAAACTGATCCAAACCTGCACAAGCGATCGCCAACATTCGGAGTCGGGGAAAGAGAGAGATGCGTGTGCTGGCTGGGGTCATGAGGCGGGAAACGAGAGGACATGAGAGGAACATGGATGATCGTGACCATGGACCAGTCGACAGCAGCCACTTGCTGGAAGTGAGCGTCCAAGGGTTACAAGCCACAGGCTCCATCAGGCAGCATGCGCAGGCGAAGGGTCGAATACGAACTCTAAGCCCACGAATGCAACGAACTTATAGCATTTGTAGTCTTCAGGACGGTGCCCGGCCTGCACAACTGGCGGATGGCAGATGCCAGTATCCAGCAAGCGGAGGGCAGAAATATTACCCGAACCCAAACAACCCAGTTCGCCAGGTCTCCGACGTAGGCAACAACCATGATTCTGATTATCTGCAAAAGGAATCAAAGCGGAAGTTATCTGCACCAAACATGGTCAGCTGGTTCGGACTCCACTTCGAAGAAAGCCGTACCGACAGTGTGGTAACGATGACCGACCAATGCACAATTTCAAGGCGTACAAATTGAAATGTCCACAGCCACTGGTGTTGACCTTCAATACCATTTCCCCCCTTACAGAACAGATTGAGTCAACCCCTTACGGCAACCTCCAAGCAACTCCTGCGCCGAGAAACCCTTTGTCAACAATAGCAATGCTTCTTTCCGTCGAGCAATTCCGAGACTAGTGCAGAGTGGGGACGGACACTCGAATGACAAAATACGAGGTGGAAAGTACAGCTTCCAGAAGCCATGTAGATATTGGCACCATAGTGAGTAAACGGCTGAACCGCATTCCACATCATCGGTCATAGTAACAGTCAATGCATGAAGCAGACCAACAGTCACCATGTCTAAGCGACTCTTCAACAACGCCTGGACTCGATGCCCCAAACCTTTGCCACTCGCCATCTCTTTGACCTCTTCTTCTTCACTTGTGATCTCCCTTGATCTTATGATACAAATCACTAGCAAGAGAGGTACTTGGCCTGCGTTGCTCCGACATTCTCCGGCCGCCTGTAGCCTCGAGTCCGAAGATACTGTCCTTTCGGGTAACGTCGCTAGCGACAGCAACACTGCCCTTCCGCGAGTTCGCTGTTGCGGCGCCGCCTTCCGCGACGGTGACACTCCCCCGGCGGTGTGACTTATCGGCGGCAACGTTCTCAACTGCCTTGGCAGCGGCGGCAGCGTGGTCGTCAAGCGCAGCTTGGGAGGCCCGTCGGTCACTCTCCATGGCGTTGGAGGCAGCACTGTGACGTCGGTAAAACCCGCTGTGCTTGCGCAGGAACTCGTCGTACGTGGGATTGGCCTTGTAACCCGCCCCGCCCGTGAGGGCGTGCGGCATGGTGAAGGCTCCGGACATTTTTGTGAGGTAAGAAACCGAAATTCGATCGAGACCTAGATTCGGTATCTTTCGCACGATTAGGTCGGGGAAGCTGTCGGCCGGGGTAATGCTTACCTGCGTTCGATTTGTATTCTACTTGATGCAGCGTCCAACAGTAAGGGTTGGTGCCACTACCAATTCTGGTATCGCCAAAGTGGAACTCCGTCTATCTCGATCTGTGCTCTGACGACGCTCGGAAGGCAAGCCTCGCTTCTCGAGAGCCCTCTGTGGTGGGCTCCGATATTTCCTGGTCTGGTCGACGTGGTGTGGCCCTAGAACGATCCATGTCAACAGGGGTTCGAGCAATGCAACCACACTCAACTGAGAATATGCAAGGGAATGGAAGTGGCATAGCTCTATTGTTGCCACTGTACAATGAAGTCCGCTTGCAAGCCTCCCTAGAGCAAAGTGTCCACAACGGTGAGCTTGCAGGCGTGGGTGGTCTCTGGGCTCCGAAAAGGGACAGTCTTACTCGGGGGGTGGTAGTAGCTAGAAGGGTCAGCTGTGTGAGTAGGTAATCTTATTGAAGAGCTGAGTAAGGGAGGTCACTGACAAACAATGCGTTCAGCGCTTGAGCAGCTCTAAACGATCTGGACCACGGTTGCCAGGTTCTCGCTTGGATAAAGCGGCAAATGTCAATGCTGATAGTGTGCTGGAGCCAGAGAAGGCAGCGACGGTAGTATTGTCGAAGAGAGGAATCAAAAGTTTTCCTGATCCGGACGATATCCTCAGACACGATTCCCTTGGGAGGAAATTGGAATCAGAGAAGAATGGACAAGAGAGGAGTTATATGATGGTGTTCAGGTCGCCTATCGATGCCATAGCTGCAAAAGCGCCCTCATTCACCTCCAGGGATCCTGTCGTCAAGTCTAAACTCTCGATCCCTACCATGCCTGGCAACTTAGAAGGTGTGCTGTTCTGCTGTTTTGACCAACATCCTGTAAGACCCCGCACTTTTTGTCCTAGAGGCCTGCAAGACGAACGAATCAACAGGGGATGGTCTCGGAGAAACAGATATTCCACACGGATCAGACTTTGGATGCGCTTGATTTCTCGGGGAAAGGTGCGCTGACCTGTGTGTCTGGTGATATGGGTGATGATACGAGCTGCTGTGAGGCTGTCCAGTGGCAGCATTTGCTGCTGTCAAGGGCCAAGGCTGAGACTAGTCGGGCCGATTAACGTCGTACCTGTCAGCACGTGACTAGATTACGTGACTTGGCATGTGACGTGCACGGAAAAACGTCTTTCCGAATGTCTTGGCTTCTGAAATATTCCGGCTACTCAATTTGTGCCGCCGCACGATTGCGCCACCATCATCAGGACTGTCACCATCAAAGCTCTTTGTGTTTGAACCTCGGACGTTGCATGGCCTTCCATTGACTGCTTCAATTCCAAGACACCAAATCTCACAAGTAGAGTGGACCGTATTCGCGTTTTATGCTTGTTTCATGCAAGGCTCAAACCCCATCAGTCTCCTGATCGGCATTCCGTTTTCCAAATAGTTATCCCGCTGACGTTTTACATGCATATCTCTTGCATAAACCAGGCCAAATCGCGCTTTTAAACTCCGTATCTATTCTCGGTTTATGGGAGATCCACGCCACCCGCTCTCGCCCTCATCTTTATTCCAAATCATACACATCGGCGTCAAAATCGCTCCCTTTCCTCCCGCGTGCGCAAGAAGAGTTCTTCTTCCGAACAAGACCGCACCCTCGAGCTTAAGATCTCCTGCTGCCCAACTCACTGTCTTGACTCGTCGTCACTTCATCAATTGCAGCAACAGCGCAGCCGTTGTCAATTGGCGGCACCACCAACGTCGTCACTTTGCGAGCAAACCCCCTCCGAGTTCATCACCCGCTCCGCCCAGCCCCACCCCGCCGCCCACAATGTCCTCCGCAACGAGCTTCTTCGACTTCACTCCCAAGGACAAGCGCGACCAAGATTACCCGCTCGCGCAGCACAAGGGCAAAGTCGTGCTGGCCGTCAACACGGCCTCCAAGTGCGGGTTCACGCCGCAGTTCAAGGGCCTCGAGACGGTGTGGAAGGACATCTCGGCCAAATACCCGGACCAGTTCGTGGTGATCGGGTTCCCCTGCAACCAGTTCGGTGGGCAGGACCCAGGCTCCAATGACCAGATCCAAGAGTTCTGCCAGGTCAACTACGGCGTCAGCTTCCCCGTGCTGGGCAAGACCAACGTCAACGGCGACCACGCCGAGCCCGTTTGGGAGTGGATGAAGGCCGAGAAGCCGGGAATGCTCGGCCTCAAGCGCGTTAAGTGGAACTTTGAAAAGTTCCTCATCGCCCGCGACGGCTCCGTCGTCCACCGCTGGGGATCCATGACCAAGCCCGAGAGCATTGAGAAGGACATCATCCACGAGATCGAGAAGGGAAAGGGTGCCGAGAAGCCTGCTGAGGGGTCTGTTTAGGCCTAGCGTGCCAGTCCTGTATGAGGACGAAGGTAAAAGAAGGGGGTTACGGGTGGTGGTGGCGGCGTTGTGGTCGCGGAGGCGGAGCTGGTGGTTTCGGGGGATGGAGAGAGACATGTCGATCGAGGACTGTTGTTAATGATACCCAAACGTCGAGTTTTACCAACAAGCACTAAATGATGATCATGACGTTGACGATAGTTGTCAACTTGTAATGCCATTCATTGTTCATTTGTCCCGGTATCCGGTTCGCATTTCAAGTAAAAGAACACAGAAACCTGAACCGCATATCAAAATCGCCTCTCGTTGCTTTTACCAAAAAAAAAACCCCCCATCTGCCCTCCCTTCCAATCCTAGTGTTATCGTCTCCCCGACGCCACGTCTTGACCAGTCCTTCTTTCGACATCCGTCTCGAACGGGTTCTCCACTCCCATTCCTGGCGCTTGCCCTTGCCCTTGCGCCTGTCCGTACCGTTGTTGGCCGCGGCCGCCGTTGGCCTCGAAATGTTTATACGCCTGATCCCTTGGGTACGACGTGCTGTTGACGACGAGCTCGAGGTCGTTGCTGTCGTCGTCGATCTGGCGGTTCTTCTCCGCCTCTTGGGCGTGGCGTTGGCGGCGCTTGCGGCGGACGATGATGAAGAGGATGATGGCGAGGATGATGAAGAGGCTGTTTGTTTATTGCGTCAGCGAGTCAGTCAGTCAGAAGTTTATTCACTCAGTCAATTAGTCAGGACACAGAGGCAGAGGGAGAAGGAGAAGGAGAAGGTGAAGGTGAGGGAGGGAGGGTTTCCGGGCGCAGTGTATGTATGTCCTCGGTCTTCCATACATACCATAGGCTAATAATCAACGGCACACCCGTGGTCAGGAACTGGCTCGTGTATTTCTCGCATACGTCGACGTCGGGGTTCGGGTTGACGCATTTGCCTCTCTTCAACAGCACCAGCTTGTGGAATTGGAAGTGCCCCATCCCTTTATCCTTTCCTTTTTCCCGTTTTATTCCTTCCCTCTCACTACCCCTCCTCTTCTTCCCTGCGTGTGTAATCCGTCTTGCTTATTCCGGTCTCTTCTGCTTGAATCTCGTTCCCGGGTTGCGGGGGTCGGTGTTGTTTGTTTACGTTTCGCTCAACGTGCGGAAATACTTCGGAAGACTGGACGTCGACGTCGACGTAAGGGGGAGCAGGGAGTTGATGGATGGAGCTGATTTTATCGTTGCTCGGTTTTTTAGTATTTATGTTATGTAATGGGAGTTCTTATGTAGATTGTTCAGTGCAAGGATGAGAATGTTTTTCGTAGCTGTGGTTGTGGTTGTGGTTGTGGTTGTGAAATTGAAAGGAGACGAACAAAAGCGCGCATTGACTTCGACTGCATAGTATACATAGCACCCGCAGGCCCACGTCACCCTGCCTCACCTCAGCTCAGCTCCTCCAAAGTTCAAACTCAGGAACGCGGAGGCGAAACTCAATCTTTGAAACCCAAGGGGGCGGGCGGTTCTGGTCTCTTCACTATGATCACCCGTTTTATTAGTGCGCCCGAAGAGAATAGGGGGCCGGAGGGATAGCACTGGCGGCGTGTATCAGAACAGACGGGAGTTACTCCTGGCTAATTTCCCGCGCCGGACCACGAGTCTCAGACTGCCATTCCGACAGGTACTCGGTACGTAGTCCAGGTAGAATAGTACGTTGTAGCGCAGATAATTAGTACTGCTGCAGAAGAGGTTTTCATTCCAAAGGCCAAAACCATCTCGCATTCGACCGTAATTATTACATCCCTTCATGCACTCACTCACACTTCGACCAGTCACTATCACAAGCTTATGAGTATCCTGAAGGAAAAGTTATATATATTATATACATTTCGTTATCAGCCCTATGGGATCAATCAACCTCGTCTTAGCCTTTCGAGAGAATCTCGCATGCGCGGGATGTCCGTGCTTCTACCTCCCAAGTGTCATTCATCCCATCTTTGTGAGGCTTCGGTCTTGTTTCCCGTGCTCTCATAGAGACATTTGAACAAGCATAAGCCAGATGAGACCGTGGTTCATGGAGACGGCCGATATGTTTTCTTGCGCCCATATAATGACATCAATCAGTCCAGGTTACGTCTTCTTGCACAAATGAACCTTTCATTTCCCAATAACATTCAAATGCCGTCCATGCATTTTTTTTTTCAGTCATAATCAGGTTCAGCCGGATGGTGGGTGTGTGAGACGAACGGTGAACCTCTACACGGTGTTTAGCCTGGTCGACCGTTGTGGAGTATCTCCCAGATAATCGTCTGTAAAGTCCTGCTCGCCATGTCGGTCTGCTGTGCTGATCCTTGAAGCCTCGAGCATGTCAGCTGCGTCGTCTATTTCAATCGACTCTCGGATTGATTCGCTCAGCGCAGAATCATCCATGCTCCCTCGCGAGATGAAGCTGTCGCCCATCTCGTTGTCAGATGCAACTTCTGCTTCGTCCTCTTCATCTTCCTCTTCCTCTTCTTCTTCTTCTTCTTCCTCCTCCTCTTCTGAGTCAGTCGGCGTGAAATCTTCCAGGTCCTGCGGCGTATCTCGCCAGTACGCAAAGTCGGTATATTCCTCTCCTCCCTCCCTCACCAGCGTCGATACGGGCGGGAAGAAATGGTCAACTAATTCACGCATCGACACATAGCTGCTGCGGTACTTGTTCAGCGTCAGCAAATCGAGTGACACTTCTGCATTCGTGTTGATCGTGAAGATCCGTGTCGACGGAATGTTGACGCTGCGGTAACTTAGCGCATCCGTGAAGCGATTGCCAAATCCGGCGTAGAAGGGGTTGGTCTTCCCAGGGAACAAGTTGAGGATATCTCTCAGACAGGCCATTTTGAAAACTTCCGGTTTCCGCAGGTAGATCTCGCGCCGCAATGCCGCGATCGTACGATCAGGGCTCATGATAACTGGGCCTCGAGGGAGTTTCCAACCTTCTTGTGTGATGCCACTCAGATAGGTTCGGGTTGTGTCGGCTTGTCCAACAGACCGACTCGTCAGATAAAAGATATTGTAGCCATTGGCAACGATGTCCGAATATAATTTTGCCACGCCAACGTGCGTCCAGTCGCGCCCAACCATATTGAGTAGATGACCCAAAGCATCCGATTTGGTGATTGTACCATCAATGTCCGATATAACAATTGGAACGTCACATGTCCAGTAAAACATGTAAGCTATACATGTGGCGCGATTAACGGTGAATGACATTTGATTCTCGCCCGGTTTGAGGTTGAGCGATTTGAGTTGATCGCTCGTAAGCCGGAGCGTCTTCGCGAAATTTCGAGCCTGCTCTCCCGATGTGCGAGGCGGCAGAATCTCTTCAGACTGTGCCCGTTGATGACCAGCAGTTTTCGCCGTAAGCTGCGGCGAGGCGCTACGGTCGCTGTCACTGTGATAGCCGGGATCAGAGATGTTGTCCGACGAAAGCGCGGTCGTTGATTCAAGGCTCTGTGATGCCCATTTTCGAGCAGCGGCATCTCGAGCTTCCTCGCTGCTGTATATCCACAGATTTCCGTGCTCATCGGTTCCAATCAAGGAGCCAATATCATAATTTCCCTCCAGTTCCTCAGAGAGAATTTTCCGAGCCACGGCCTCTGCTCGCAAAGCTTCCGGCTCACTCGTCTTATAACCTGTCATGTCGAGCATAAGATCTCCAGACTCGGTAACCTGAGATCGGATATTGGAGGAAGAGAGCTTCCTGGAGAGGGTCATTGCTCGGTCATATGCTTGCTTTGGTTTCAAAGCAGGAGGACTTGCGGACGCTTTTGGCGTAGTAGTCCCGTCCAGACCAAACTTGGGCGACGGAGGTATGCCGTTGTTGTGAAAAGCTCCGCTCACCGAATCTAGTCGCTGTCGTGTAGCGAAGGGGAGAATTTCTTCTGACGCAGCTCGCCCCAATGAAGCAGGAGCGGTCAGAGTCGTATCGGACAAAGGCGTTCCGGTTGGATCGGTGTGAACGGTGCCCAGATCGATTTCTTCGCTCACGTTCGTTCCTTCTCGTCTTACTATGGGGACAGGAGCCGAGGATGAAATGGGAGGAGTATTACGACCCTTCGCCGCCTCTGTGATATCCAAGTAGGAAGGTTCAGAAAGACCAGGTGAGGGAGGTCTGTCCGCAGCATTTATAGGTGGACTGCTGGCGGGAGAAACTAAAGGAGATGTCTGCAACCCCTCGGGAATTTCATCCGATGTCTCGAAGACAAAGAAGGCTTCACCTCCATCCCCGAGTTTCATGGCGTAAGGCTGCGTGACCCCATTGACTTTAAATTCAACCTTCTTATCCGAGGGCCGCAGTAAAGAAAACTTGCCAAACCGGACATGGAAAGGGGAGCAGGCCAGAGAGCCATCGGGCTGTTCAATCACAATAACATCGATGGCTCCAGACAAGGTTGCCGGGTTGATGGAATTCCACGTCTTGGAGACACCGTTCCCTAGACTTCGGACATACTGCATGGTGAGAGAGGTTGAAAACTTCGAGAGATTGGGGTAGATGCTGAATTCCCGGTGATATGATGAAAACGTGAAATCTCTGGAATTAGTACATAATGGTCGGAAGCCTGATGGTTGGGGAAGGCGAAACTCGGAACTGGAAACGGGGATCGCTCGACGACGCCACGCAAAGGCTATGCTGATATCTCAAAGGTACGGGCTAGCAGCTCAACAGGGTGTTAATACAGAGGGTTTCTAGGAACACACAGGAGTGAAATGAGAGTGGAAAGAAAGGAAGTGTGGAATGACCGAGAAGTAGAAGGATGGGGTAGGATATTAAGGATGGGGAAGAGAATGAGGAAATCGGGTCATTCAGCATTCAGCATGACAGCATTTTTGTCGGGCCATCCACTAGTCCGTTTTAGGTATATTACTGAATATCTCTATTTTCCCCAGATTTTCCCGCCTGGCGATTGTGGTCGAGCGTCACTCCGATCTACAAGTATACCACTTTCTTAGCGCTGCACCTCGCTCCCGCACCCAGAAATACCCTAAAGAGACAGTACAGATATTGTGTCACTCTTCTATACTTGGTCGCTGTATTATGGTGCGACAATCCTAACGTACAGTCGCCCAACAGCTCCACCACCACCTCCGTCTCCTCCACACGTCCATCCTCTCAATTACCAACATGAGCTCGCCCCCAAACCCTCCCGGTCCTCTCACACCCCCTGCAGAACCCTCATCACAAGCACCTCAGTCTGCACAAGCCTCCCAAGGGACAGCACAGCCCCAAGTTGAAGCACTTCTCTCTCAGCCCTTGACCTCACTGTCAGACGATGGAAATTCAAACAGACCGCGAGATCACCGATTGATCCATCTCCTACTCGTGTCTCACGGTATCGCAGCGTACCAGCAGCGCGTCCCTCTCCAGCTCATGGATTTTGCCTACCGATACACTAGCTCTGTGCTCAGTGACGCCTTACATATTCAAAATGAGGCCTACGACCAAGCAGACGGAGGTGCTCAGACTAAAGGTCGGGGCGCCAAGCCAAATCAAAACAAAGGCGAAGAAGGCGACATAAGCATCGCGGCTCTGCGCATGTCAATAGGCTCGAGGATGGGGTACCAGTTCCAGGGGAGTCTGCCAAAGGAGTTCTTGAAGCAGTTGGCGGACGAGAGAAATCGAATATCACTACAGCCGCGGGTGAGGGATGGCGACAAGGTGGGGCCCATGATTGGAGGTGTCCGGCTTCCGCATGAAAAATATTGCCTCACCGGCGTGGGCTGGGGTCTGAAGGACGACTGGGACAGCGAAGGCGAGGAGAGCGTCGATCAGCCGGAGGAAGGAGAGCGACCTGAACCGGAAGACCTCATGCAGGTGGATGACAAGGAAGGAGACGAAGATGAAGAAGGATTGGGCACAATGGAGGATGTGTTTGGTCCCGACGATGGAGGCGGAGATAAAGAAGCGGACGCAGATGGAGATGTGGACCTGTCGTAGGACGACTCAGACACGGGAGAATATCATAGCATGGGCATTACCAACGGTGTATTATGGCATGTGAACGGCATTCTGGACTAATGTGATACCCTTAGAAATTCAGTCGGCGGTTGGGGGGGAGGCCGTACTGTGTGTGGTGGCTTCCATCCATACACCAAAAAGCAACTCGCCTATAACATTAAAGCCTACATCTTGATGGTCAATTCAATTCGTCATAGTGTCTCTTGATATTGGCTGTGAGCCGATCATCACTATTGTACATCTGAACTCTACCCCCTCGGGACGAGGGTGATGCCCCCCTGTGCTCCCCCCCCGGCTCGCTCGAGCCGATAATACAAGGCTCGTTGAGAGCGATTCACCCATGCCAACGAGAAAGCCCGTGAAATAGCTGTGGAAAGTTCCACTATCAGATCCAGTCTTGTCCTGAGAAATCTTGACCGATACTTGGTGGTTTTCATGGATTTGTGAAAACGTGCTTATTGGGTTTTTGCAACCTCCAGGGCAATTCTCCTCTCACGTTCACGAGGTCACTAAGATGTCCTTCCTCCCAGAGCACGATCATGAAGACGAGGACCTGGTGTGCAATTTGGTGTTCTTCTATTGACATCTCTTCCGGCCTAAGAGTCAGGATGGAAGGCTGAAAAACTGTAACTAGTCGATCCGCCGTCATGAGGTTGAGGTTTGAATACTCAACACATGCTTGGAGCAGGTCAACCAAGTACAGCACCAGATGGCGGTTAAGGCGCAGTGTTGTCATAAGGGCAAAGTTAAGAGTATTCAGTATTGACAACCTCTTACGCGCATCCAATTGAGCCCAGTTGCGACCTTCGTTGGCTTCCATAGCTGAGGTGAATTCATAATACACCGCTGCGAAGGTCATAGAGCAATCAAGCGGAATGATTGGCTCCAGCAGGCGTTTGAGATAACGGAGGAGCAGACTTGCAGCGTCCCCCACCTGATACTCTCGCCATCGGATTTCTGAGCCATAATAGCAAAGGTCGGTGTTACTGCTGAATATTTTTTTCAGATCTTGTATCCGTGTTGCTGAGCCCGATCTAAAGAAAATCTCCTTCGTCTTCTGGCCTATAGGGCATAGGGTGAGCCGCTTATCCAGGCTCCGGGTTATAGAGCAAGTCTTACCTTCTTCCTTTATATAAGTGCAGCATCTTGCAACAGTGGGAATGTGGCCCGAAATAAACAGCTTCCCGCCCTCTCCAACAGAACCAGTTGTAACTGAAGCGATTGCCATGCCTGATAACAAAGGAGCCCCGAGAATAGGACTCGAGTCCCCGTCGGTCAAGTTGGCAGTTTCAACAGCATAGTATTTTGGTGACTTCGTTGAAGCGAAAACAGTGAATGCTTTAGAGCCTTTTCCGATATCGACTTTCCCGAACTGATAAAACTCTCTGTTGCTGATCTCCTCGGCATGGATCGGCAAGGCCAAAACGGCGAGGTTAGAGATATTCGACAGGCTGAGCCCAGTAAGCGTTGACCATGAAGCTGTTTTACCCGCCGAGCTGACGATGGAAGATGCGGCGTCCACTCTTCGCGCTGCCCGCTGATACACCCGGATCCACTTAACTCGTCTTCAAACATTAAACCGAACTGATTCCGGGTGATGGCGCTAATCGTTAGAAGATCTGTGTCGTCATTTTGCGTCGGATTTTCAGTCTTGGCAGTAGGTCCCAATGTCATCTCGGTGTTGGATAGTCGTCTAGCTAGCGTTTCGTGACCAGCTAATATGGTCTCCACGAGTCGTACAAGGTTGGTTACTGAATCTTCAGCTTTGTACGAGGATGCGCTATACCAGGAATCAGCTTGTGGGACATCTCCTTTGAGAGGGGTCACATACTAGGTCAGTATGATGAGCATCAGAGTCAATGTGCTCTTCTGAACCTCCAAATTCTTCAAGCTCTCATTGATCGCGGCAGCTTTGGTAGCCCACCGGAATCGATCTATGAGCCCAAGCTTTTCGTCTGAAACTAACGTTCCCACCATAACGTCCAACTCTGAGAAGGCACTGACACAGGCAGTTAATGTCACCACGACCTGATCAACCAAGATCAGTGATGTGCGTCCGCGACAGGTTGTTGCGCTTCCAAGTAATAGAGCATGGGGCTGGTGGAGTATAGAACGAATAGTGTCGACTTCACCCTTTACTTTCCGAATGTGTTTTGGTGCCTTTCGGCTCCTTCCCACCAGAGTAGAGATGTTTGCAGACACCTGGGCAGCAGCCGCAAGAATGCCCACAATTGAGCCTGCGACTGAAAGAGGGTCCATTCTTGATGGCGAATCAACACCAGATGCGATAGACCTATCGTGACACTCTTATTTGTCGTGTAGCATATAATATCTGTGTCCATCGACCCTTGACGTGGCCGAGGAAGGCCGGAGATGGGAACGAGAGAGAAAGGAACGAGTTGGGAGAATCAGACTGTCCTTGCATTTTCAAAGCCATTTCTGAGCCCCGGTGCAGGGGCAGCAACTTGCCTCCGCTGACAATTGGCTACCCGCGATGACTGATGAGGCTGAGCCCAAAGCTACAGGGGTCTGGCTCGTATCACGGCTGCGAAGGACAGGAAGGTTGCCTTGCAGCGCATTGGCTGAAACACGGTGATCGTAGTGAGTGTAATAGTAGGTGACGGGGAGAATAACGGCAAGAGCTATGCACGCGTCTTCCATTCATGCACGTGACCAGAGCGCGGGAGCAGTCGCACTCGAGGGTCGGGGCTTCGCCAAGGCTGAGTGCCAAGGCTGAACCGAGCCGCAGCGTCGGCGGGCGTCGACTTTGCCAGTGGTACTCGCCGACTTCTCCGCTCGTCCACTGATTTCAAGAAACTTAATAGTCCGTAAATGGCTCTCCATGATTTATAGGATATATTCTTGCATATTTCCGTCGAGCGCATGCCTGCCATCCCCATATTGTGGATGGACTCATCTAGATGGCATCAAGAGCCATTAGATTGGGCTTCTCACGCCTACCAGCTGCTTGCCCCTCGAATTAACGTCAGAGGTCGCATGGCTCTACTTTTGTTGCTCGCCGTCATCTGGGCTTTCTCATGGTATGCCCTCCAAGATCATTTTGCGCCCTCGCTGCTGACTCCCCAGGCTTCTGTGGCGTGCGTACCAGGTCCTCACGACACCGAATGAGATTCTAGTAGAGAAACTTGGCCTCGACATCCCCCCCGCTCCGCTCCTGATCCTGGAAGAAATCTCCACGTCCGAGCTTTATTTGACTTGGAAACATGCAGAACCATCTTCCTCCATTCAAGAGCACTATGTGGAGCTTAATGGCGTCGTTATCGGGACCACGAAGAAGAGCGAGATGGGCGCCGTCATATCTAGCCTTCGTCCAGGCACCAAATATGCCATTCGCGTCTTCTGCGTCAGCACTGGCACTTTTCAGACCCCTAGCGCTCCCTTCCACGTGCGCACCCCCAATCTTCCCGAGGGGAAGGAGGCTCCCGAATCGATCCCGACGGTCAGAGGGGTTTCTGTGCGAAACGCTTCAACCACCACGCCTTTAGCTGCGCCCTCCATGACCCGCGACTTGAGTGGAGGACAGCCCATGGGGAGAAGAGGCACAAACGGCCGCAGACCATCTCCGGGTGGCCATGGCACCGATGCGCAGGGTCAAGATGCAGGGTCAAGAGCCGAGGAGGAAGAAGTGGACGACGATCTTGCCGAGTTGTCACAACGGTTCCAAAAAGTTCAACAAGACATCGAGGCGGTCGAGGCTCAGATACAAGAAGAGGACCGGGAGTTCGAGCTTGCCATGAAGGAGCTGGAAGCTCGCCGTGACGAATTGAAACAGAGTCTCAAAGAGCGGGATGAAGTCAGCAATGACCTTCGCAAACAAGTGCACAAGGCGGAGACGCTCAGTCGGACAGCTCAAAACGAGAAGACCAAGAAAGAACGGTTATTACAGCAGAAGGAGAATCAGCGGAGGAAGAGGAAGGATGACATCTCTCGGTGGGAAGAGGCTACCGCTGCAATGAAGGAGGAAATTGCTGGTATTGAGAAGCAGAAGGCTGCAATTGAACGCAGAACGCAGTCCGAGCTTCGCGAAATGCGCAGGAAAATTGAAGAGGAACAGAAGGAGGTCGCAATGTTGGAGGAGGACAACAAAGAGAAAGCACTGCAGATCAAAGCTTTGGAAGAGGAACGCAAACTGCAGAATGCCGACGAGGAGACGGACGAAACTAGAGAAGCCGATCGTCTCGACCGCGAGCGTGATATGAGATGGCGGGCAAAATACGATGGTCTGCAGCAAACCTATACCCGGCTGTGGAACGACCTGCAATTGGCCAACCAGCAAGTCAACTACACCAGGGAACAGATAAATCAGCTTGAGGCGCGGCGAGCGAATTCGATGGCATTCGCACCCATTGTACCGCTGGATATGGACGCCATTCGACGGGGAGTGAGACCTATCCGACGAGCAAGGCCGGCGGGTTCTCTTGGGAGCAGCATCTCCTCGCCGCGGGGACCGTTTGCTGGGCCTGAGCCTTTCCCCTCGGGGTTGCAGTACACCTCTGCTCCCACCTCTTCTCCTACAGCAACTGCGCCGAGTTATTTCAACCCGCAGAACGGGATGACGCTGGCAATGCCTATGGAGATGGCCCCTTCAACCCACGATGACCCAGACGCCATATCTTCAATCCCAATGAGTCCTCGGGCTGACTCACTCCTTCCAGCTGATCTACTTGGTGATGAGTCTGCCGATGATTTTCCCGAAGCAGATCTGCCGCGGCAGAAAGAGAAAACTGAGACAGGCACAACGCCTTTTCCTACGATAGGGTCGCCCGTATTGCACCCCGATAGCGGTCGAACCGAATCTCCTAGTGTTGGTTCTTCCTCTGGTAGGTCGTTCTCAAGTCCCATTCAAACATCTGCGCCTCCCGAAGGCGACGAGAAGTCGTCAAACTCTGGGAAGAAATCAGAGGAGCCGTCTGAAGAAGATGAGGTGATTCAGCAACCAAAGAAACCCAAGTATACCTCCATGTCATCCATGTTCGGCCTCAATCGTCAGCGAGGAAAGACTCTTGCCGATCAACCACCCCCTCTTGGATCTCTCAAGCCTAGTCAGAGTCAGTCCTTTCCAAGAAATGTAGAAGAGTTCGATCCGAGGCTAGAAACCAAAAGGCGGCTAAGCTACGGTGGAAATTGGGCATTCCCGGGATCGACCCTCTTAAACAGCAACGGCACACCGGAAGAGAAAGAGCCAGCAATTTCCCGCTTTGCTGCGACCCGGCGTGCCTTTGGATTGGGCGGATTTGGAAAGTCGGCTGCCGCTTCAGCGAACTACGATCCTTTTGCCATGAGGTCGGCATCCTTCGACCCAGGACTGCGCGGTGACACTTCATCTCCACGGCCATCATCGACTTATTCCTTCGACAAAATGCCACGACCGTCAATGGAAAGCCAGTTTCGTGCGTGGAATGACAAATCGGCGCTGCGAAACAGTCCTTTGGCTCCAGACTGGGGTTCACTCCATTCTTTTTCTCGTAGCCACTCACGGCGTCCTTCCATTGTTTACGGATCGACCAGCAATCTCTCCCTTCCACATGGGGACGAGGAAGTGGTCGAGCCAGATCGGAAACCCACTCGTCCTCTCCAGGCGCCCATCGGCACGCGGCCCGCGTCTTCTCAACAATCTTCGACTCCGAAACTGAACCCAGCTGCTCCATCATTCACTACCCTCTTTAGCAGGCGGAGTGAGAAATCCAAGGACAAGGACAAAAACAAGGCAAAAGAGTCGAAAGAGAAGGTGAACGACATAGAAGCAGGCTCCCCCCCTGAATCGCGAAAGTCAAAGGATACCAACTCCATCGCAGCGACCGTCTCCACCCTCGAGTCTGACACGCTCGATAGAACCCAGTCTGGGACTAGCGCTCATTTGTCCGTTGAGAACACACCGGTCAAACCGACGTTCATCTCCAAAATCACGCGCAAAGCCAGCAGCAATAAGTTTGGAAGCTGGAAGGATAAAGGCGGCTTGTTCTCTAGAAAGGAGGCATCTGCTCCGAATGGTGAGAACGAAGAGGAACAAGGGTCAACGGAACATCTCGGAAGGAGTTTGGAAAGCACCTCGACGACCCCGAGCGCGGAGGAGAAGAAGACGAGTAGAACGAGTCTGAGCAATTGGAATTTTATGCGCAAGAACAAAAAAGGGCTGAAGGAGGACCTGACAGCAAGCGAGATTAGCGAGAGCAGCGAGCGGGCGAGCGAGGCCGAGGAAGTGGAGGAGAGAGAAGAGGATGAACAGGCATGAAAAGAGGAGGGCTGCCTTGAAGCATTCGCATATGAGCTATAATCTCCGCAAGAGAAGTTTTCCAAAACAGTCGTCCATCCATCTGGCGACTTTGAAGCAATTGATCGCTTTGGGTGCCAGTGACTCATTTTGGGGTCTTTGAATAACCTCACTCCACCACTTTTGGATCGTACCTAGTTTCCCCCCTTGACCTCGTAATTCTCCTTCACGAATCCACCAGTCGATGATTTGGAAGGAACGAGCTAAATCGAGGCATACTACGTGCCTTTCCCCATGGCTAATTCAAAGTTCGTCCGACCTGATAGTTTTCTTCTGATCGACGTCATCACACGTGGCTGATGGAGAGAGTCTGACACGCGGTTGTCGCGCTAGGTATGAATATGTGCGCAGCTTCGAGCGCGAGGAGACGCTGCTGCCGAACACGTGGATTGTGGTGAGGATCGACGGGCGGGGATTTCACAGGTACGTAATGTAATGTGTCTCTGTTTGTCCCGTCTGGCGATGCTTTATCACGAGTCGAAGGGAGTTTGATATGAGAAAATCAGGGGAGAGAGATTGAAGAGAAGGAAAAAAAAAAAAAAAAAAAAAAAAATAGAGTACGCAACGGCGATCAATCCAACACATCCAGATCGGATTCATTTAGCTCCGTCTGTCTGCCTGCTTTTTATGCCCGTTATTTATTTCCTCCAGGGCCCCTCCACCCAGCCTCAAAAGGATCCTGATTGCTTGACCTGGCTGATATCTGACCGATGGAAACGGAAACGGATTCCAAATGGTGGCAGACTCTCCAAGCACTACGACTTCACCAAGCCGAACGACGCCCGCGCGCTGCGTCTGATGAATCACGCGGCGACGCACGTCGTCGCGTCCATGCCCGAGATCATCCTCGCGTACGGCGTGTCGGACGAGTACAGCTTCGTGTTCCACCGGTCGGCGACGCTGTTTGAGCGCCGCAGGGACAAGATCGTCTCCACGGTCGTGAGCACTTTTACCGCTGCGTATGTGCTGGGGTGGGATTTGTTCTTTTGTCCAGAGCGGGAGGGAGTGAAGGAGGGAGCAAAGCGGCAGGAGGAGGGAGAGGACAACGGGAAGGAAAAGGAGGGGGAGAAGGGAGAGGAGAAAGAGGAGAGTGCGCGGCGAGCCGCAGCTAAGAAGAGCAGAATGTTGAGCATGGACATGTTGCCGACCTTTGATGGCAGGGCCGTCTGTTATCCCTCCTGGGCCAATTTGAGGGACTATTTGAGCTGGAGACAGGTTGATTGTAAGCAAGCCATCCATCCATCCATCCCCCTTCCCTACCTTATCCTAACCGTTTACTCCCCCCCTTTTGATCACTGCATATATGTAAATATGTATAATTCTAGGCCACATCAACAACCTCTACAACACGACCTTCTGGGCCCTGGTCCAGCAAGGCGGCATGACGCACACGGCGGCCGAGGAATTTCTAAAGGGCACCGTGTCCTCCGACAAGAACGAGATCCTGTTTTCCAGGTTTGGGATAAACTACAACGACGAGCCGGATATGTACAAGAAAGGGAGCGTCGTTTTGAGAGAGTACGTGTTGAGGAAGGGTGGAGGAGAAAAAGAAGAAGAAGAAGAAGAAGGAGATGTCAGAGGGACTGGTGAAGCTAAGCACGAGCACGAGCGCAACGTGGACGATGACGACGGATCCTCCGCAGTCCCAAAGCCCGCCGTGTCCAAGACGCAAGCAGAGAAAATGCGCAAGGCGCGGAAAAAGGCACAAGTCGTCACGAAACACGTCGATATCATCCGCGACGACTTCTGGACTCAAAGGCCCTGGCTTCGCAGTGGGAAGCCCGGGGAGACCGGTGAGTGAAAAATGGTTATCGAACTGTGAGACAGAATTGCGAGATGGGGATGGAGATTGCTGAAGGGCATATTCGTGATTGTCAAACTTTGACTTCCTCCGGTCTGTTTCCGTGGCTGGCATAAAAGATAGGATCTGGCAGACTCCAATGACTCGACCTTCTTTCTTCCTGTTATACCCGTGTCCCATTCCACCTTCCTCCTACGTGCATAGTTTCCCCACCGGCCTCTTCCTGTGCGCCTCGGTTTCCAGTCTCGCATATCCCTTCGCATGAAAGATGCAACCCGCCTCGCCAGAGTGTTCCCACCGGTTGACAAGAACTCCCCTCGCCGCCATGCACGTTATAGAAATCGCCCCGAATGCGACCAAAAGGTATAAATCAAGAAGAGATGATTGCTCCGCCCTGCTGCTTCCCCGAACCCCCTCTTCCCCCAGTTTCCTCACTTGGAAATCTTCTCCGTACTGCAGTTCTGGCATCGACTGTGCGCGCATTTGGGACAAGTGCCAGCTTTGATGGAGATCGGGTTGTGTCCACATCGGTGCTAACACAAACCCGTTAGAGCGCCCGGATATTGGGGTATGTGGGGATTGTTTTACACATGTCCACACAAAGACGGTCACCTTCTTCTTTCCTTTCGAGGGGGGGCATCTGGACCGACGTCAGCACGCAGACATGCAGTAGAATTGCCCGATGCAGTATCTATAACGAGTGAAATCGCTAAGGAGAGCGATGTTGACGTCGTAGTCACTAGCGATGCATAATAGCTACTCTCTAGCCGAGAGGAGCTTTGAATCCTTGTGGTAGGTTGCGAAGTTTCTGCAGCGGTGGAACAAGTCGAAAAGATGGCCAATATCTGCCTCTCCTGGATGGAGACAGCCCAGACCGCCTTCGTTTAAGCGGTAGCGCGTCGTTCCTGGCCAAGTGGTGCAGAAAAGGTCTGCTGGGAAAATCGGTGAAGTTTTGCCTCAGCTGGAGAAGCTCCATGTCCGATCCGGTATCGCGGTTTCGTTTCAGTGTTTTTCGACTCCGCTTGGCCGAGAAATCAATTCCATCGTCTGCGCTGTATTCCGAGTCATCCGAGTCATCCGGTTTTCTCCAAGTGATATTCCTTTATCATTTGAGCGGGAGAAGTCGGTGCATTTGATGACACTGCTAGGTGAAGGAGACAAACAACCATGGGGCGCGGCGGTGCATCTCTGACCAATGGGAATGCTTCACTTACACCCTCGGCTGATTTGGGTATCGAAAATAAAACCGACCGGAAGCTGTGTTGATGGCGAAAATCGAATCCTCCACTCCTATATCCAGGTTGGTAAGGGTAAGGGACTTCACCATTGGACGTCGAATCAGAGATAGAAGGAAAGCATCCCGATCTGAGGAAAGTGGAGGCTCTGGTGGAGAAGGGTCTCGGCAAGTAGCAGACGTGCGATCTCATATATCGCCCTTTTGTGGGTTGTTAAGTCTGCATTTGAGGTGGCAGTTGCCCCTGTTTGGCATGCGAGACTTGACGGTTTATACGTGGCATTCCTGCTAGCCCGGGGCTCGGCATTTTCAGTCCCATCGCAGTCGCGAAGGGCGATAGAGCATAGGTCAATCGGAAGCAGTCCACGAGATTCAGTTAATTTCCGAGATGGCAGCTTGCAGACCATACCGCCTCGAGAGAGCCGCCAATGTGCAAGTGCTTGGTGAATGAGCCTGTGAGTCAAGCTGCTTTCACTGAAGCATGCAGTCTTCCTAGCGCTGTGGGCGAGTGCGCGGTCTTGCCGGCCAACTTTTAGAAGTCAACCATGATGCTTTCCGTTTTTGAAATGAGGGTTGTTTCTGAAAATCTTGGGGCTAGGATTGATGTAGCTGTAACAAAATGGTGGGAACCCGCAACGACCTCAGTCTGGTTCGACACTGCTGTCCGCCACGGTGCTGCGTGGGCGGCTGCAAATGCTTGTGATGCTGCTCAATTTATTCCAAATCTATCTCCCACCCTTGTAACCTCATGGGTGTTTAGCGGAGGGCAATGACAAAGACCTCGCGCCAAAGGGCACAACTTTGTTTCTCCATGAAACTCTTCGGATGGGCAAAATCGTTGCATCACAAGCAAAGCAAAGTGATTCGAGGGCGTTGTAGGAGCATGTTTCCTTGTTCATGATGTGGGTGGCACTGTCAACCATTAGTCACCAGTGATGAATGGTAACTCTATGCTGAACGTTGGGTAAGTATTATCCTTGTGAGTAGTCTTATGGGGAAAAAAAAGAAAGGTAGAAAAGAGGATGAAGTTTTTGGCGGCGGTGAGAGAAGAGACATTACTTATCCCCTGCGAATCAAGGTCGAAAGGAGGATTTTGTCAGTTGTGGTGATTTGACGGGCATTGACTGTAGCGGTGTGTATAGATCCAGGCGGCTGGCGGAGCCTCCTCACAGGTGACAGGCAGAGAGACCTACACCACACGGCGCGTGCTTGCCCGTGGAACCTGTGGGATCAATTCTCGCTTGGACGGTGGGAGGACGGGCCGTTATATATATTTTTCCAGTCGTAAGAGCCCCGGCCAGAACTACTGGGAAAGGCCATGTGACACTAGGGCGTCACCGTCAAGTTTTGTAGTACTTGTAACATGCACTGAAGCAAGCACATTACCTGTTTGGGTGTGCGGTTATTGGCGGCGAAGATGGGAAATGACCTGGAGGTGGAGAGTCGGAGAGACATCGGGGCAATGCTTCAAGCGCCTGGTTTATGGCCGTACTTACAACTGACCCGTCTGCCTCGAAGAGTCAAGGAAAGTCTTGTACCCAACAGATGCGGTTTCCGTGGACGGTTGGCTTCCCAAGGTACAGAGTACTTGGGAAGCAATGACTCTGAACCAGCGCCGCTCACGAGAACATGGAAGGATGCGTTCCCGAGTTTGTAATCCGAATCTTCAGAGGTTAATAGGGCGAAACCATCTTCCCCCCTGCAGAGCCAGCCACAACTTTTCAAATGACCACGTATTCGGATCTCTATCTCAGGCAATGCGGGCCGCCAAAAGATGCTCCGAGGCCACGGGTGGATGTGACTGGATTGGGAAATATTTCATATCGCAATGCAGCAACTCCTCATCTCGACAATGGCCTCGTCAGATCGAGGCTCGTCTAGGACCATCTCTTCAGGCGAAGATGCGGTTCATCGGGTCAGGCGCAACAGCATCTCTGCTTTTTCATTCCTATACTGCTGATCAGACAGTGTTGCCACATCCCTAAAGACACGGAACAGCTATGACAGCTCACAAGCACTAGGCCACCTCCCAGCGAGTAAGACAATGCAGTGACTTCATGGAGCACAACCCCATGGGACCGCGGGGATTTTGTTTTTGGGCCAAAATGCCGTGTCCACCATCATTTGGTCCCCGACTTTTACCTGGAAGTGAGCCACATGCTGCGCAGTGCAATGATCAAAAGTCAGGGGTCTAGGCTAACCGCTCCCTACGATCAAGGCGCTCGAGGCAAATGGAGGGGATCGCTCTGGTTCTGGGACTCCTCAGTGGAGCCTCGAAGTCGACAACCAGTTTTGCCATGCCTTAGGCATCAGCGCCACGGTACCGGGTATTCTCAATGACATCGCCTGGGCCGTCGATAGCTGGGCCAGCTGGATCTGGAAAGCTTGCTCGTACTGCGAATGATTATCTGGCGTCCGTGCGCGACAAAAGTCCCGCAAAGTACGGTTTCTTTGCTGCCATGCCTGACCTGACGAATACTGAGGCAGCACTTGCCGAGATCCAATATGCGCACGACACTCTTGGAGCTGATGGCATCATGCTCATGACAAGGTACGGGCCCTCGAATATGTACCTGGGACATCCGGATTTCGAGCTAGTCCGGAGGGCTCTGGACGACAGGAATGCGGTAGTGCTAGTTCATCCGACGCACGCTGTCGACACGAATCTGATTGCAAAGAACCTACCGCAGCCCGTTCATGGATCACCCACAACGAGACCACTCGGACGGCCATTGACCTTATCATGTCGAAGCGCTGCAGAACTTACAAGAACGTCAAAATCATCCTTTCCCATGCCGGCGGCACCCTTCCATACCTGGCCAAGCGCGCTGCTTCGTTGGGTGAAGTCGGGCTAACCACCAAAACCGTAGAAGAGATCCTCGACGATACTGGGCTGTTCTACTTCGACCTCGCGCTTTCTTCGTCGCAGCAGACGATCCAAATGCTGTTGCAATATACAACACCCGATCACATTTTGTACTTCAGTGACTCTCCGTACGCGCCGCGGACAACGATTGACAGACTCGCGCCAGAGCTCGATCAGGCCGAGTTAGAGCCCCGTTTGAACATGGCTTTCAATCGAGGAAATGCTCTCAAACTGTTCCCGAGATTCGGTGGGCAGTGATGATTACAGGATAAGGGATGACGACGAGGGATGGGTCCTGGGGGAGCACTAGTAACGGTGGCTTCGAAGGCAGAAATTAAGCCTCCGTCCGGAAAAAAGCACACGCTGCTCTCGAGATGTACCTCGTACTCTTTCCCTGGTCATACTCGCACCTATGGAGGTAGTTTTCTGATATAGATTGCTGGGCGTCAAGGGTTGCCTGTTTGTCAGACCCCTGCGCCACAGGTTTATGCTCCCCTTCCATGTCCAAATACTGCAGCCCTCGGGCATTCTGCAGGTCCGTTGGGAGTGAGCCTCAGTGGCCCCAAGACTTTTTACGAGCTCCTCGGTACCCCTGGCAATCTGGGGCCGTCGAGCCACAAATATCAACACAGTCATAGGCTCCCCCACACGGGGAAAAGCGGATATTGGGCGCCTTGAGGCCCTTGACCTGCTAGCCCACGAGGAGCCTCGGGTGCCTCTTGATGGTGTTGCCCGCCCCTTGCGGTGGAAGGCTTTGCCCTCGGGTATTGTCCCCCCTCCTCCGGGTTTAGCTTTTGGCGAGTTTGCCGACTTTCCATCGTCGAGTTTCCTGACTCTTCAATATCAAGTCAGAAATCGCCCAGCTGGTGTATGCACCTTGTCATGATGATGGAAGCGTCCACGCCCAAATTGACAAAGTCTCGTCGGCGAGACACCGACGACAGCCGAGCGGAGAGGAAGAGGATCCAGGACCGCCTAGCCCAACGAGCCACGCGTGAGAGAACCAAGAACCGCATCGCCTATCTCGAACAGCGTCTCAGCAGCCTTGAAGCCGGCGACAAGGACGGCGAAATCACCAACCTGACGCGTATCATCGACAACCTCCGCAATGATAACAACCGCCTTCGAAATGCCTTGGTGAAGATGCGAACAGTCATCGACCAGGCTGTACTGGTGACGGATTCCTCAGGTGATGCTCAACCAGAAACCAAGCCTTGCGGATGCAGCGTCGGATCCAGTTGCAGCTGTAATCAGACATCGTTCCCAGAGAATACCCCCGCCGCTGCATTTGAAGACCCGGCTACTACGTTTCGTCACACTTCAGTCTCCTCGACCGACACTTCAGAGGCCACCGAGGTCGTCAATGGCCACAGCCTTGGCCTGAACGTCGACGTGGCACAGTCCGATGCGATAGGCTCGGTGGCGGGCCTCGAGGACTTTTTCGACTTCAACCCGAACTCTCTGCTCGAGATGTTCGAAATGGGCGGCACCACGGGCTTTAGCGGTTGGCAGCCCCAGACCCCATCGCCATTCGACTACCGCTTTCCGTCGACGGATGCAGTGGTAAAGGTCGCGCCGGACGTGGACAAATGGCACGTGTCCAACGGGGCCTTCATCAGTTGCTTGGACAGCGTCAAGCATCAAACGGCGTCAACGTCCACCCTTGACATGCACGTACCCTTCAAAGCAGTGACTTGGGGCTGGGAGAATGCTGGTCCGGAAGCCCAGCACCCTGTGTGGAGTGCACTGCGGCAGGTTGATCAGCGGGTTTTTGGCACATGGACGTCCAAAGCGCAAAGGATGGCGTTGATGTACGTCTGCCAAACGCTGATCCAATACCGAGAGAATCCAACCAAAGAGAACCTGGAGCGGGTGCCAGTGTTTCTGCGGCCAAGGTAAGCATTTCTCGCCCAAAAGGGTCAAAATGGCTAGCTAACAACTATCTTAGGCCGTCCCAAGAAAAGGTTCAACACCCAGCCGTCATCGATTTTCTCATATGGTAAGTTTTCCATATCATCTCAATCCTACTCTAGTCTGCAAAAGGGTACTCGGTACCCAGCGCCGCTAAAACAATAAACAATCTGTTAACAATCGGTGAAAAAGGCCCGGACTCCGTGATCGCCTCGTCTTCGAACACAAGAAATACACGTCGACGGGCGACTTTTCGGCCGCCTTTGTCGAGAACTTCAACTTCTACTGGCCCTACTCGGACCGCGACATCTTCGCGTACAACCCCGTCCAAAACCGGTACGAGGTGTCCAAGATCTTTTTGGAGTACGCGTACAACTTCAAGAACTGGACCATGCGCCCCGGCTTTTTCAAGAAGTTCCCCGAGATGCAGCACGACATCGCCGCCTTTGAAGGGACCACGGAATTTCCCAAGGCGAGTTGGTCGATGTAAGAAAATTATTTGGGGGGGGCCGGGGGTTCGTCAGCATCGCCATCATCGTCTCCCTTAGGGGCCTGAGTTTTGCCTTGTGGGAGAGCGAGGGCTCTGCCTCCTCATGGCCCAGCGTTTATTTACCCAGGAATGTGCATCGCAATATCCTTCTGGGTGATGAATGTCCGATCGGATCCAACCAAGCAAGCGAATCGGGCAGGTGATCCATGGCCTGGTCGTATTATGCCTGCTCTGGCTGTCAGCGGCGAGCGATTAGACAACGGCCTATGAAAATCACTCACGCACCCTGGCAGTGATGCGTCGCGTCTACAAAGTGCGCTCGCCCTCTACCCTGAGTTGTCCCACAGTGACACATCTAGAGTGAAGGATTTATGGATGCCAAAGACCCTTGATGTGTCTACCTACTCACGTTAGGTGGCCCTTTGACAACTGCCCAACCCTGAGCGCGCAGCGGGTAGAGGAAACCTCGCTCCCAGTCACGTCTGAAAAGACGGTCAATGTATGCGATCAGCGCGACAAAGGAGACTGTCCCCTTCGTCGTCTGCTGGGATTTATTACAGCACTGGGAGGAAAGCATTATGAAGCTCATGTTAATGGATCTGAATTCGGGAGAGGCGGGAGCTTGGCTCCATCCTCAAACCCTCGAACCCGTGCCATCTTGAAAAGAGAGAGAGAGAGATCAGACATGTACAGAACTGTCGCTGATGCCGTCATGCTCAGGAGGAAGGGCATGAATGTTCAGGCAAACTCATGAGATGGGAGGAGTTGGAAGAAGCCAAATCCAAAATGATTGATACCTAGTATCCAATGCAGACAAAACTCATGCATCTATGGCCAACATAGCCCAGATCTGTCTAGTACGTATTCTCGTTGATCGTGAATCCTCTAGACGGGGGCATCAAGTTAGCAAAAAGAAAAGAGAAAAAAAAAAAAAAACTCCACAAGAAAAGCAACCCAAAACATCAAGCACCACTGGTAACATACCCATCGATGACAAGGTTATGGCCCACCACCAGACTCATGCGCGGGGTGCTCAGGAGCACGACGACGTCGCCGATCTCGTCGAAGGTGGCCTTGCGGCCTTGTCTGGCTTCGTACTCCTCCCACGCCTTGGCCGCGAGCTCGCCGTTTCCCTGCTTCATGAAGGGGTCGAGGAGCTTGGTCAGAAGGAAGCCGGGCGAGACGGCGTTGATGCGGATATCGTGGCGACGGGCTTCAAGGGCGGCCTGGGATGGAAAAGAAGGCGTTATGATGATGATAAAGCGACGGAAGGAACGCGGTGATCTGGAGATCTGGATTGTAGTCCAGGGAGGACGAGGATTTGCTTACTGCTTTTGTGAGGCCGGCCACGGCATGTTTCGACGCGGTGTATCCCGTGGTACCAGCACCGGCCTGGATAGAGTTGACGGATGCGCAGTTGACGATCGAGCCTCGCTGACGAGGTCGGCCCTCCTCGCTGCACACACATAATGCCTCAGCCTTGGACGGGATTTTCCTTTTTCCTGCAAACTGCACCCTTCCACTTACACTTCGATCGAATCCTGCTTCATCATCTGCTTCAGCTCGTACTTGTTGCAAAGCCACACTCCGACTGTGTTAACTTCGATAACCCGTCTCCATTGATCCGTGTCGGTGTCCCACGTCTCACCCAGGGGCCCGATAATACCTGCAAAGTTCCTGGTGACTCTCTCAGTAATGCTCCCTAGGGTCAACTTCTATGGGCGGAGTCAGAGTACAAAGGACAAAATGTACTGACGCTGCATAGTCGATGCGTCCGAATTCTTTGACCGCTTCGTTGACTGCTCGCTCTACGTCTTCCTCCCTGGTCACGTCGGCGCGGACGCATAGCACCTATGGCGTGAGTAAGGGGATCATCAGCGTTGACTTGGAGCCGTCATTATGCCTTTGAGCTGCATGACTTTTTTGGCCTTGACAGTAGCCTACCTTGGCACCGTACTTCTCAACTGCTTTCTTGCCCTCCTCGAACGTTGCTTCATCCTGAATGTCAACCAGGCACACGCCCCTAGCACCTTCCTTTGCAAATGATACACCAATGGCGTTCCCTAACCCGCGTGCACCGCCGGTAACAAATGCGATGCCAGGAGCAACAGGTCCCGAACGAAAGACCATTTTGCCGAGCCTCGGGGATGGAGCGGTTAAAGTCAGAGAATTGTGTGTCTAGCGAAGATCGCAATTTTTCTAGAAAGTGCAAGGCTCCAATAATTTATGTCGTTGATCTGCAGAGGTTGTACGAATTTCGTCAACGAGCTAGCTACTAGCACTTCTCATTGTACTTCTCGGCATCACACTCACCAGCTCAATCACGGCGGGACCAAACAGCAGCTGCCACACGTCTCCAACGACCCTTTTACCTAGGTTCGGTAGATTGGGGGCACAGCCTTGCTGCTCATGATATTATGTCCCCCGCTTTCTCCACATCCATGATGAGGATGTCCCACTTGTCCGTCCCCACGACACTGTTCAATGCAAAGTACTGCTGGAACCTCGGAGACGACCTCGTGTTTGTCGCAGAAAGCCATGTCAGTGAGTAACCTGCGTACCCCCCCAATGGGCCTCCATCAAGCATGTGATTGAACGAAACGGCACACCGGCAAACTCGTTCCAGTGGCGTGGAGTGATGATCTGTCAGAAAATGCTGAATCAGAGCAGCCTTTTGAGCAGGCAAAGGACTACGCTCTTGGGTGCTCTGTGACTTGTGCGGGGCAATCAAGCTGAAAGATAGAGGGATCCAACGGATGCCACCTAGGACCATTTACCGAAGCCCATATAGAGAGGCGAGCGCGGATGGTTGTTTGGATCAATCTGGGCTGTTGCCCTTCCTTGCAGACGTTGCCATTCTTCGATCCAACATTGCTTTCTGTTCAATATGGTGAATGAACTCGGTTATAGAGTTGAGCCGCAATGGCATTCGAAACCGAATTACATGCGGGTTATTTGCGTTGGCGCCGGTGCTGCGGGCTTGTTGGTGGCGTACAAGATGAAGAAGGATATCAAGAATTACGAACTCGTCTGTTACGAGAAGTTCGTGCTCGCATTTCATCACTCGTGATAGTGTCTGCTGACCGCGTTGAAGGAACTCCGGAATTGGTGGAACGTGGTTTGAGAATCGTTATCCAGGTTGTGCTTGTGATGTTCCCGCACACGCGTATACCTTTTCATTTGAGCCGAATCCAGAGTGGTCCAGTTTCTATGCATATGCGCCAGAGATTAAGCAGTATTTCGAGAAGTTTGCCGATAAATACGATCTCCACCCCTTCATAAAACTCAATTCCAGGGTCCTATCTGCAACTTGGGTGGAGGAGAAAGGCATATGTTAGTTCAAATCAAACCATGATGCTGCTGCATGAACTGACCTTCGTTAGACGAGGTTGAGGTTGACATGGAGGGTCGCAGGATCAATGATTGGTGTCATGTCTTCATAAACGGCACTGGTTTCCTCAACGACTGGAAGTGTAAGTCTGCCTGTTTCCGAACAACTGTGAGACATTGACATCTTAGCAGGGCCGAAGATCGAAGGACTGCATGATTTCGAGGGAAAACTTCTTCATAGCGCAAATTGGGACACATGTAGGCTTCGCATTGGCCGCTGACCCTATCATGACTGACAATTGCCAGCGGTTGATTATACCAACAAGAAAGTCGCGGTAATTGGAACGGGGTCGTCTGCCATTCAAATCGTGCCACAGGTCCAGAAGAAAGCGAAACACCTGATTACATTCATGAGATCTGTAACATGGATTTCTCCACCCGTTGGAGGCCAGGTTCTTGAAGAGGACAAAAGTCATTCTTCAGACGCCAATCAAAAACAGGCACCTCAGGCACAATATTGGTACACCGAAGAGGACAAGAAGAAGTTCCGTGAAGATCCTCAAGCCTTGCTCCAATACCGAAAGAAACTCGAATCGAGTGTCAACAATTTGTTCGACATGTTCATCGCCGGATCAGAGACATCCAAATGGGCCGAGAAGCTGATGCGAGAGGAAATGCATCGGCGCATTGGACCAGGACACGAAGAACTGAAACAGAAGTTGATTCCATCATGGGCACCAGGCTGTATGTTGAATTGCAATACTTTTTGACGGACCGTTGACAATTTGCACAGGTCGAAGAATAACTCCTGGCGATGGCTATCTCGAGGCTTTGGTTAAAGAAAGTTAGTATGCCAAAGGTAACATCGATTTTGTCTAATGGAACCACAGACGTGACACCAATTCATAACGAGATTGTCAAGGTCGTGCCCGAAGGACTGATCGATGATGCTGGTCGCCTGCATAAGGTCGACATCCTTGTTTGCGCCACGGGGTTCAACCTCGCATTCGCGCCGCCATTTAAAGTCTTCGGAGTGGATGGTGTCAGCATGGCAGATGAGTTCAACCCAGAACCACACGTTTATCTTGCCCTCACAGTGCCCAAATTTCCCAACTACTTCGTTGTCAATGGCGTCCGAGGCAATTGGGCCTCTGGGACAGCTCTTCCATCGCATGAAGTCCAAGTCGAATACATCTTGCAATGCATGAAGAGGATCCAGGAGGAAAATATTCGAGCGCTAGAAGTTAAAATGGAGCCGGTGAAACAATTGTATGAGCATATTGACGAATGGCACAAAGGCTCTGTCTGGAACACAGAGTGCAAGAGGTAAGTCCGCAACCATGATTTGGGTTGGACCGTCAACTAACAAGAGCAGTTGGTATAAAAACAACATCATTGGTGGTAAGCTGTGGATTTGGGGTGGTTCGGTGAGTAAAAAGTGTCTCCTTGAGGATAAAGTCTGATTTCAGTTAGGCGCTTCATTATATGAAAACCATTAAATTCGTCCGGTGGGAGCATTATGATTTTCGATATAACAACAGGAATATGTGGTCGTTCCTCGGAAACGGTCGCGTGGAGGCTGAAGTGATGAAAGATACTTCGAGATTAGCACCATACATGAGGAACGAGGACGTACCTTGGATGATAGACTGAACAGCTAGGTTGCAAATATACGCATAGAGACATGCCGAATCGCAATACACTAGAAGATTTTGCCGTATGAAATTAGGAGGCCTGGCCTATACTCTACCAAGCATCATATCGGATCTCAATCAGCCTGAAGCTGTTGTTTAGCTCCAAAAGTCAAGGATGCCCATAGGGAGCAAACGGTTGTAGAATCTTGGTACCAAACAGAATTTCATCATGCTAATTCGTGAAGGGAAGTGTGGGGAAGAGGTTCGACCCTGCCTCGGTATTTCTGAATCAGTCGAATCTTCGTCAGGGATCAGTCTCTGCTTCCGTTGTTGCTGTGCTGCGCATATCGACGCCTGAGAAGTGTAAGGTCTCATTGCCTCAATAAGAACCCGCCTTCGGACTTGCTTCGATCAGTTACTAGCCTTGAAAAGTCAAAGAAAACCGTCGTAACAAAATGAAAGCTGCAAGATACCACGCGCAGCGTGATTTGCGGGTTGAGGACGTTGATGTCCCACAAATCGCAGACGACCAAGTCCTGATCGAAGTCGAATGGTGCGGGATATGTGGTTCTGATTTGCACGAGTATCTAGTCGGTAAGTCGCAATGCCCAACGGGATAATTTTGAGACCATGACTGAACAATCGCCAGGACCGGCGGTCATTCCTAGGAAGGAGACACCCCATCCACTGACCGGGGCAGTCTTGCCTGTAACGATGGGCCACGAATTTTGTGGTCGAGTGAGTAAGGTTGGCTTAAATAGCAAGTTACAAATCGGACAACCTGTCATGGTCGATCCACGAGTCTTTTGTTCCAATTGTCATTCCTGCAATGTCGGCGACACGAACATCTGCAATAGCTGGGGATTTCTGGGCCTGCAGTCAAACGACGGGGGAGGTTATTCAGAATACGTTGCAGTCAAAGAGGACATGTGCTATGTCCTGCCTGATTCGGTGTCCTTGTCCGAAGCCGCATTGATCGAGCCATTGACGGTAGCAAGACATGCAACAAAGAAGTCAGGATTTGACGACTATGTGGACAAGACGATACTTGTCCTTGGCGGTGGACCTGTTGGGTTAGCATTAATATTTGTGTTAAAAGCCTCTGGAGTCGGCAAGCTCATCGTGAGCGAGCCAACGATTAAGCGGCAAGAACAGGCAGCGGAATTTGTGGATGTGGTGTTGAATCCGAGGGAGGTCAACGTGGCAGAGAAATGCCGAGAACTAACAGACGGTAAGGGGGTGGACATTGTGTTTGATTGCGCAGGAATCATGCCAGGTCTGAAAGATGGTATGGATGCTCTTCGACGAGGTGGAACCTACGTTAATGTCGCTGGATGGGAGAGAGAAGTAAGGCGTCCTATCCCCCTTTGGGTTTCAAATAGCTGACGAATCGTTGTAGTGCATTGTGCCCATGGGGCATTTCATGTTGAAGGAGATCATCTTCAGAGCATCAATGAGTTATACTGAAGCCGATTTCAAGCAGACTGTGGATGAATTCGTGGCAGGTAAAGAGTAAAGCTCGAAATATCTCGAGAGGTAGCTGACGAGAAGTAGGAAAATTCAAGGGATTCGAGAAACTGGTTACGGCAAGAATAGCATTGGACGACGTCGTAACAAAAGGATTTGAGGAGCTAATCAACAACAAAGATGACCACGTCAAGATCATGGTGACCCCAAAGAAGGAGCTGTTAGCGCACTGAAAGGGGCAAGGGACCCAGAAGACAATCATGGTTGAAGATTGACAAAGAGAAATTCATGCCAAGACTACTCCACGTGACATGTTAGTCAGCAACACCCGTTGCCGCGGGAAGGCCCGAGACTGCGGCCCACTATCAAGGGACTTCGTTTTTCCGCAGCCCAAATTTCCTGCTTTGATCGACAGACAACAAAACTGCATTGCTCAGCCGCGGACATCTTGTGAACCTTGGCTGACTATGATACCACTCTGCTAACTCCGGCCGGTGTACCTCCTCTTTCTATGGACGCCCATGCCCATCTACTCTCCCTTGGCTGGGCAGGACCCGGCCACTCTCTCGACTCAAGACCATATAAACAAAAAGGACACCGAGGACTCGCTTACGACCCTGCCAAAGTCGGCAATAACGGCGTCGGCCTTGTCAAGCCTCTCTTAATCTCACAAAGAAAAGGGCGGTTTGGCATTGGGAAGAAGGCGCATGAACCACAGGCCGGAAATCAGTGGTGGCTGAAAGGGTTTGAAAGTGCGCTGGGGAATATCGGCAAGAGCGAGAGTGAGAGAAGTAGTGGCACAGCTACGCCAGTTGCACATGACTATGTGGCTGGAAAACACGGGGGACTTTACAGCTTCTTCGTCAAGGGACAAGAGATGGAAGGGACAATTGGCAGGGTCGACGATACAAACCGATCTTCGAAAAAGAGGAAGAGCGATGCAATTGATGAGGGAGAAGACGATACCACAGGATCCACCATATCTAAGAAGCGAGAAGCCGCGGCAGAATTTGAAGAGGTTGGAGCATATTTTGCGCTGCGTGACAAAGACGAGAAGCGTCGTCAGCGCAGCCAAAAACAAAATCCTGTGGCGGAGTTCGAGCAAGTGGGCGAGTATCTTCAGGCAAGGTTGGAGAAAAGGAGCATGAAGAAGCGAAAATCACAAGTTGGGCCTGAAGCCACTGAACTCGACATGCCGGTCGAAATGGGTAACGGGGAAGAGGCAACGCCGAATCCAGTAGAAACGAAAGAAGAAAGACGTGAGCGGCGCCGGCGGCGGAAAGAGAAGAAGGAGCAGCAGAGGAATGCATTGGCAGATCGGGGGAACCGGCGGCAGCCTGACTTGCCGAACGACGGTGTTGTAGAGGATACTTGCGCCAAAGCTGACCGAAGAGAGGGCAAGCGAAGGAAATGTGGAAAGACCGCTACTAAGACTGCGAAGGAGGGCTGAGGGCGATTGCAAGAGATTCTTGCGCATGATGCTGTGAAGGTTAAGAAATCCTACTGTGTCCGTGAGACCCATATTCGATTTTTTTTCCCTCCAAGACTATACCCAAGCCACTTCTACAGCGAGTGAACCGATGGAATTCAGTACTTTGAGGCCGCAACGATGGCTTTGACGCAAATGAACGTGATGTGTGATGCATGGCGGTAAGCGAAGCGCAGGCGCAGCAGTAGGCTGCACCTCGTAGCAGATTTCACGCCGCCTGCGCCTGTGGTGCAGATTAACGGAACACCATGTGGGACTTCCACTGCCATGGCTTACGACTAGTCTTGTCTGGGGTATTTATTTTGGGTGTTTCCATCTGAGCTTCATCGCTCTTCACCTCAAGGAATAGAGTCCATCTAATTGCTTTTGCCCTTTGACAGTCTCCTGCCAATCCGGTCCCTGCCAGCGCTCAGAATGTCCTGTACATTGGGGCTCCTGTACCTACCGAATTTCGCTGTATCCCACGCCTCAAAATGTATCCTCACCCCCTCCCCCCCGGTGGGTATTTGCTCCGGTTGCGAAGACATCATGAACCAAAGAAAGAGCTTGGAAATGCCCATGGGCAAAAGTACAGAGGCTCCCTTAGCCTGCGGTTGAGTTGCAGCCACGTCTTATCGATCGCCGCCCAGCCTCAGTGCTCTCACCGTCTTCCACAGACCGCTTTGATTAATACCGAAATATTGCTGGCTGAACCTCGTCCACATGCGCCCGAATGAAAACTATGCTTGTAGGATTTTCTATTTTCATCCATGCTCCAGGAGGCTCTATAATCGTGGAGAGACTGAATTGGTGGGAGGGTTTGATGTTGCTCAACCGGGAGTTCGTTGTTCTGTCTTGTGACCCCAGTTGGGCACGAACTCCAGTGTGATCGCGGCTGCCCTACTATCTGCAAGGCAATCACAGTATGAGACGCCCGCAAATTCCCATTCTCCTATCAACTATGGCACGCTTTCTTCCAGGGTATAAAGACTGCGCCTTAGCATTGAATCAGCAATGACGAGCTTGAACAAATGGCTGCCATGGGAGGGCTGCCTTTGCGTCAACTTCCACAATGTGGAAGTACTCACATCCCGCAGTTTTGTGGATTGGGAGCACCTGAGACACCGACCGGTTTGGCTTCATCCTCAAACAATTAGTGACTCGTATCACACCCGCCAAAACGTTGAGATTCAGCTGACACAATGAGGTGCGTAGTGAAACTTGGGGAAGGAACAGCAGCAACTCTACGCTTCTGCAAGTCTGAGCAGCGGCCTGACTCTTGGATCTAGTTCCTGGCCCTCGGAGTTCGAGGGCACTCGGGATGACCTCGATTACGAGAACGAGAACATAACGCATCTCGAACGCCAGCGAGGGCTCGGAGACGATGAAGATTGGATCGAGGTTTTTATGCGTGACCCAGATGAAACCGATGGTTTCCTTTTTGAGGTCGACAAGATCCGAGACTTTTTGGATGGTACCACTTCCAGAACCATCCGACCTGATGACGCAGAAGACGGAAGTTCTCCTTATTATATTGCCTGGCTGGACGAACGCTGCTATTGGGGTGGTCCAAGAGTGTATTGCAATCCACTCACGGCAGCTGGACTCTTTGAGAAGTTGTCGAAACCCGTGAGTTGCTTAATTCCACTTTTTCAGCATGGGCGAACTTTATCTAATGGCTGCTAGCGATTTCGACCTCGCTGCTCTTTCCTTCCATGCCTCTCTCTCCAAGCTCCTCTAGCGGTTGCGCGAGCAGATGCCTCGACGCGCAGTGGGCCTGACATAGCAGAGGACATGGAGCCCGGAGAAACGACCGATCTGAATTGTTGCGTGAGGGACTCTAGGAGAGCATCACTCTCAGGGCATCTAAAGCAGGGGGTTTCCCGAGCGCTAGGTGTGTGCCCCTTTGCACCGGGCTGGAGGATAGGTCTCCGGTGGGCACCAGAGGAGCCGGATGCCGCAAGGCGTCTGATATTCGTCACTGACTTGGATTCCGAGACCGCCACGATTCTCATGAAAACTGTGTCATACCATCAAGCCAGGCCTCTTCGTCACGCTCTCTACCGCCATATTATTGGCCGAGCTCTCATGAGCGTGACTTTTCCAGTAAGTCCTAAGAACTGTGAGAATTTCAATCTTTAGAGACTGAACTGGCGATTTTATAGTCAAGACTGCCTTCAAGCTTCGAGCTGGAATTACATATGCCATTCTACGCTTGGAGACCTTTTCTCTGTGAAGACCACCGCAGATACGCACACGGTGGGCCGTTGAGAAACACGGTGGATGTCTCATTTCTCAATCGGCAATCCGGATATAGTCCCCAAGTCTTGTGTGAAGCTCATTTGACGTGTGTGATATCCGGGTCTGATGACCAGCATTGGGTTGCCTATTTCTTCACCGACACCTATTTTGATGGTAAGGATGAGGCAAGAGAGACCGTCCTCGAATACGACAAGGATAAGCGGAGTGACCACGGCATGAATGCGGATCCGTTGACCTACGGCAATGTCGACGCAGATGTTGATCCGGTCTGGGATCCGCGAAAATACTTTCTCACCATAGTCCAACATCGACTCGGACAGGTAACACGCGAGTGGTGCCAGGTAGTCACGAATCTTAGGGAAAGTTTCTATAATTTCGAGCAGGTACGGTGCCTTCTATCTTATCACAATCTGAAAGCCACGGTCGGTAGCTATTGACAATGATTGCAAGTATACCGGCATTGGGTCTGCTCAAAAGGCCAATCATCAGTCGGTCAACAGCAGTCTAATGGCACACCGGGCTGCATCGGCTTTCTACTGTTGCGTCCTTCTTGGTTGACATCTTCGCTAGTCCAACGACTTTTTCTTGTCGCAATCGACAGTTTGTCATTCCCCCAAGGAGGAGGCGGGCCACGGCGAAAAGCTTCGACGTTGTTATGATTGGGTGATGCAGCTGAACGATCTGTCAATGAAATTGGTCGAGAGGTTGGCGGAGGCAGTCGATGCAGTCGAAACCTGGCTGCGCAATTGTGCTGCTTTCTTCCATGGACTGCCACAATCGCCCAACGACTCCAGATTCCTGCCTGAAATCGAGGCAATCTTTGGCAACTTGAAGTCGCTGAAGCAGCAGCTTGAATGTCTTGTTGCCCGGGGCAAATACTTCTTCAAAAGGGTACGATGAATCTCCTTCGCAGTCCGAGAATCCGACCGGACCGCAGCAGAGTTCGTTGCTAACAACTCACCAGCTTGCAATTCATCTCAATCTTGACGCAGTCGAAGTGGGCATAAGGCAAAGTCAGCAGGCAAGAGAGACTAATAATTACTCGTGGGTCATGATGGTCGGTTTACCTCTGATGAGAAATGCACGAGGGTCATCTATCTGACTTACGTCTCACTCCCACAGATTTATGTTTCACCTGTGGGACTAACGATGAGCATCTTCTCGATGAACCCGATCGTCCTTCCCTATGTCCAACCAACGTTCGCTTGGTTCATCGGGTTGCTCGTCATTTTGTGGTTTATAGGATTTGTTTTTTACATCACCGTGTCCTCGCGCTGGCGAATCATCATCACGCATGTTTCACAATTGCGCCGGGCAAACTACGAGCTGTCAAGCGTGCACGTGCCACGCCTGTTGCAATGGAGGACGAAGAGGACAGCAGGTGATTTGGAAAGCGGTGGTCCCCCTTGTGTCATGACACGCGGCGACAGCATGATCGACTCTTCATCATGCCATGGAAGGTGCAGCCGGTGGGCAACACAGGACGGGTTCTCGTCATCGGCAATGTCTAGCGGGCTGGAACTTCCATATCCGTCGGTCCGCAGGAGAAGCGCCTGAAGAAGATCCTCGTGGTCATGTCTAGCGGTAGCAAGGATATTCTCAGGCGACGAGAAAGGGAGGACATGTTTCAGTTCTGATTGATGTATTACATATATATCTTGTTGTATGAGGCTGGATCTGTAACCGTCCTGATTCCTGCCACTAACTTCCAAGTTGTTTGTTATACAGAGGTGTTACAGTTATTGGACACAGGTTCTCGCTCCGAGTAGATTTTCTGAGAGGATACCTTGGTAACTCATTAGTAACAGCTATATTTTCACCACTATGAGTTATAAAACGTTCTAAAGGCTTCAGCATGTATTGAGGAGAAGTCACATATATTCGTAGTCGAGGTGGAAAGATAGCGAGCCATCGACTTTTTCAATTTCGCGGCCGAATTCAAAATACTCTGCGCATGTTTCTCAACAGCTTCTCGACCACGAATGTGGAGATTTGAGGTCATCTCTGTGACGGACTGAATCTTCGCGGGAAGGTCGTTCCTTGTCGGGCATGCATTTCAAGTCGGGGATCTGCATTCCACTACCTTTTGCGTATGGAGGAGCCTGGGATCACAGATGCGCTCCCGATCGTAGAGATGGAGGGTTGAGTTCCCAACCTCGGGAAACCTGAGACGGCTGCATTCCAGAGATACTCCATGGCTGGCTGCATGCCGGATGGTTTGTGTGGTTTCGCGTCTGCGGAAGTGTCACGTCGTCCGAAAGCAGAACATCAAGGATGTCACTCACGCCTTGATCTGCCCCAACGATTCGCGCCTCAGATTAATGTTGGAGCGTTCGACTTGACCTACCTATTTGCCCCGACGAAGTGTTTGTTCGTGATTTTCCATAGATCATCCCCAAAGGATGTAGCTCCTTCCTGTTCTCTAGCTGTGGAGGAGCTTGTTTGGTCGCCAAGTGAAGAAGGCTGCTCGATTTCTAAAACGCGGCCGTTATCTTTTCGGAAGCAGACATTAATATCGTGCGAGGCTGCAGTTGAAACAGGCGCAAGGGGCTAAAGTGGTCGTTTCTAAGAGCTCGCTCAAGATGCCAAAACGGGGTGGTGGCACGGATCCCTGCGCGTCTCTTCCGCCGTGCCAACAAATTTTCCGCTCATGGGAGTCCACGTTCTTGCTCTCTCAAATAATTGAGGATTTGTCTTTATCAGGTTATCAGGTGTCAGCGCGTTATAGGGTGGTCTCTTGATTGCAATCGTCTTGTCTGATTTTTATTTGTTCTCTGTTGGGCCTCGTTCTTGGGCTGTGATCCTATCATTGTGAGCATCGGTCGGCGGTGATTAGATCGAAAACCCTCGTTGCCCGCTTCAACGCTGTTATGCGCCAGACCGTGACCTGGGATATCTCTGCAGACACTCACCTTGCGTGTATGTTTTCCTATACAAACAAACAAAATGGTCAGTACAAGGGGATGGCACTCCAGATGCAACGGGGGTCAATCACCATGGTCAGTTAAGGGAGCCGTGTTGACATGTTGCAAGTAGCCTCCGTCAAAGACCAAGAAAAAGACCGGTGTTGTGTTTGTGTACACTTGTTGCCGGTGTGGGCAGACGCCGATCAGCATCCAGAAGCAGCACTGTCCTCATTGTCATCATACACGTTGTAGCAACTGCAAATGCGAGAAAGTTGTCCAGAGATAACCCACAAGGGCCCAGTCAATAGACGGCAACGAAACGGCATCGAAACGGCATCGAACCCACGACTTGAATTTCTGCACCGCTCTGTTTCTTCTCCTGCTACCAGCTTGCTGATCGGTGACGCCCTCCCTCCTCGCAGTTTCCTGCAAGTATTCTCGGGATAAAACAGAGCAGGCACAAAACATGGGAGAGACTGCGGAGTTTTTAGGTTATTCAAGGAATCCACAAACAGGAGAAGGATAGAATGCCACCTGTCGCAGGGTGATTGCTCCTCTGGTTGAATCTCGGGTCGAAGGTCGTCGGCGCTATTGTCGAAGCTCTATCTCATCTATATGGTTTCTGTGTGCAAGAGTTTTTGGGTTGCCACCAATCCCTTTTAGATCTGGGTTGGGGAGTTCGCGTGGACTGCTTCTCAATGACTTATGGCTGAAGGCTGGAGCTCTCTGGGAGCAATAGTTGTTTCGTGGACGGGGTTGGGAGTTTCTTGACAGAGGTTACTTACTCTTTGCGTTGCTGATCATTCTGACGTGTCACCCCTATGCATCTGACTTGCCATCAGCGGTTCCTGTGTGACATGATAATAGCCGCGGAGTGATCCTGAAGCCGTGGATGCCGTAATAGGATCTCCCTTGCTGACTCTATTTCTTTTATATCGCCCATCCGGAGCGATCTAGCAGCCCTGTTTTACTCGCAGCGGCAGCTACGAGGCAGTTGCGCATTTGAACAAGAGTTGTATGAAGGCGGAGGAGGGAACGATAGCATTACAGACGTAAGGCTGAAGGCGTAAGGTGTCTCTGCACATTCTCCTCCGAGGAAGGAGGTCTAACTGGGCAAAGAAGCACTAAGTTGACTTCGACCAAAAGGCCAACAAGGCAGCCAGATTACGGGACGGGTTCGGGCGTCACTATGGGAAAAGTCGGTGAAGCCGGGCGTTTGGGCGAGTGACGAGTGCTACCAACGCCCCCAACTATCGCAGCCCTGCACTCTATTGTGGTCACACGCATTCGTTCTGTGTGGTCCAGCTTCTCTACTCCGTGCCTAGCAAGGCTAGGCAGGGAGGCATGGCCTGGATGCGTCTACTGCGCCGAAGACTCGGGCCTGTCGACCCATCTGTCGCAGCGTCGAGGCTGATGGAGGATATCCTAGGTACCGTGCTGCGGACAAACACTGAGTCACGGGTTATGATCCCTGAGCTGACCTCGTCGGATTTGTCAAGTTATCAACAAGGCAAGACGATTGAATTGTTCGCTGATGCTGGGAACCGCCACTGGCTTCCCTGCTCTGCCTAGTGTCATGTGCGTCACTTGTCACTACTGGTACCGCGCCGCCGTTGCGGACCTTGCGGTGGTCCCCGCTGCACTGCACTGACTGCGCCTTCTTTCAACCTCCTCCGCCACTCATCAGTCACTCATCAGTCAATCTGGATCGTTTGGATCGTGCAAACACCCCCGTGCTCAGCGTGGGTGGCTCAACAGCGTGGCATGTTACACAAATCCAATCGCTGACGTTTGGAGCCCAAGTTGTTCAGGCGATTTGATCTCTGTTCGCCAAGGAAGAACTTGATGCCTTCCCAGATGCCGCCTTGTTGTTCGCAGCTTGCTGTGTTGGTTCCAATGCCCCTGATATGCCTTGATTTGATACCAGCACTACGTTGGGGGCTCTTCTCTCCATGACCTATTGTTCTGAAACTGCAGATCTGTGCCTCCCAAGTCCTGCAGCAGATGAAGCGGCACGCTGGTGGCACACGCGCCTGATCGAATGGTGGTGGGGGTATCGACATTGGTATACTTTCTACAAAAGTCCCTACCCATGCCTCCCACCATGTTACCGCTCAGACACTCCAACCTTCACCATGGTGTTGACATTCCACTGTTGCCGCCTGCGTCTTTGGTATACGCGGCACCTCTTTCACATCCCGTCTATTCTCCTTGAGTATACGCCGGAAGATTAGTCGCCCTCATGGGGAAGACCAAGGCCAAACGCCAACGAGCATCCGGTGACCGAGATCAAGATCAAGCCCGATGTTATACGCTTTCGGCTACAGCCCTTAGGAGCTGGCCTGAAATCTTCCGAAAACGCCGAAACATCTATCTCAGAGTCGAAAACAAATCGCACGTAGAAGGCCGAGCGGAGTCCGGAGAACTTGAAATCAACGATGTGATCCGCATCTTTATGCGCGAGCCCGAAGAATCGCTTGGCTTCCTGCCACGAGCAGACAGAGTTGAAGAATTTTGTTTTGGCATGAGCATCGATTCTCTTCGGAAAGCCAAATACAAACAAGACGGATCATTGCGACTCATAGCATGGCTGGATGACCGGAACTTGCAGGGCCCGCTCGATCCGTCACGGGCACACTGTAAACTGCTGACGGTATATGCTCTTTTCAGAGAACTGAAAAAGCCTCGCTTCCCTTCGGCGGATCCTCACGCTGCTCTTCCGGCCAAGGCTAGAAAGCGACCGGTTTTGACGGATGCAGATCGGCGCCTTGTCTTCATCACAGACTTGGACTGCTTGAGCATCTATGCCCTGGTGCAAACTGCTTCTTCTCACCAAGCTTCAGCTCTTCGGGAGGCGCTGTACTATTACCTAGACTTTGAACCCTGCTTGAAGTTAGCCGCCATCACAGAAGGATTTCCCATGCTCAAATTCGCGTTTCACCTTCCTTTCTTCGCCCTGAGGCCCTCCAAGACTCGACAAACGGACTGTCGCCGGGACCGAGATGGAATGCCCTTGAGACGCTCGCAAGATGTTTCTTTCCTTGATTGGCAGGGCGGTGCCTCTCCAATCTACCTCTATGACGCCCAAATCTCCTGCGTGATTGCAGGTTCGGACTGGTCGAGGTGGGTGGCATGGCTCTTTATCGACACCTACTATCTCGATGCTGAAGACGAATCCAAAGAGGACGTGTTGGAATACCATGAAGACAGCCTTTCTCCGAAAGGCATGCGTGCAGACCCGCTCACATACGGATCTGCAGATGCGGATAAGCCAATCTGGGATCCCGAAGAATATTTCTTGACGGTATTCAAAACCCGGTTTGCACAGGCAACACGAGAATGGAAGGTGGTGGTCAAGAAATTCAAACTTAGTCTCAAGCATCATCAAGGCAAGCATGAGTATCGACTATGGTCTCCAGCATCTCGCGAGCCCTCCAAGGATGAGAGTCACAATGGAAGTCTCCGCTGTTCCCTCGACTGGGTACTACAGTTCATGCGTCTCTGCAAGGACGTGAAGGAGACCCTGGCAAAGACGGTCAAGAGTTACGAACCATTTTGCGCGAGGGGAGCTGGCAACCTTGTCGGTGGTCCGCGCTTCCCTCGGGAGAGCAAACTGCTTCCTTCGATCCAGGACACTTTCGATGAGTTGTGTCAACTCAACCAGACCCTGGACCATCTTCTGGATCGCTGCAGTCAATATACCAAAGAGCTTAAATTCAAACTCAGCCTGGAAGTTGTGGAAGTGGGCAACCAACAGATACAAATGAGCAACCGACAAACAAATCTCAGTCTCGAAGCGAATCGAATAGCAGAGGACAACAAGGGAATTTCATGGATGATGATGCTTTACGTTACACCGGTAGCGCTGACGTCAAGTGTATTCTCCATGCAACCGACGGTCATTCCTTTCATCCCTCCAACATTTGGATGGTTTCTAGCCTTGATAGCCATACTGAGCTGCATGGGTTTTCTCGTCCACACCACATGGTTTTGTCGTTGGCCTCAGATGATGGAGTTAACTTGGCGACACTGTTGTGCATTGCCTCGCATATGGCGAATGGCCCGAAGAGGAAAGCATGGCAAGGGGGACGTAGAAACCGGCGGTCCTGCCACATCTGCGGGCTTTGCAGTCGGGAACCCTGACCAAAAAGTTCTTCATTCATCGACCAGCATATCAGGGGCAGATCTGCCGCCCCAAACAGGGTCCCGCGAGGGTGGAAACTTGCCAAATGTACCAACGTAATTCACTTTGGGCGGCATCAACATTTGGCACCCATTTGGAGCAGTAGACTCGAATCAAGATCTGAGATACGATCGACAGCGATTTCGGGAAAGCAGGGTGAGGCTAGAATAGTCACAATGATACCGCCAATCACTAAGTCTCCTGATTTTGTTTTCCTGCCTGGAAAGCATGTGCCCGTGTGGCCTCCTGCACGGTCGTTGGCGCCTCACCCCTCTCATCAACCTGACGGGTGTCACACGATGATTCGCCGAGTTGATTGGGAGGCCACTATTATCTCTCCTCGCCAGATACTTCAAGTATCCATGTCTCTTTCGCCGGGTCACCCATTTCTACGACTCTTCCACCCCGACATACTGGGCCAAGATGGCTACAACTTCAGTCGAAGGTCTGTGTGGTTTTCTTCAAGCCATGGGCATCGAAAATACGAGCTTTGTCTCCACATCAACAGACCTTTATACCAACCCACTGGCCATCTACTTCTCGCATCTAGCGGAACTCATCGTACAACTCACCGATTGTGAACAGCAGGTCGCCTACAAATCGATCGTATGGGCGAATGACATGACCCATTTGGTCGTTGTGGCGCCTCGTCTCCGACTCAAGGGCGTCGATTCAGAGGACCTCGCCGCCGACTTGCAGCAAAGGGCCGGTAGTCCTGGTGGTCTCTTTTAACTGGCGCTGACTCCGACACAGTTCCCGAAATCACCCCTCTTTGGACATCCTGTCAACGATGGAATTAATCTCCTGTTTTACTTCTCGAATAGCAACCTCGCCCGTTTGCTAATGTCCTATGTCATTGACCGTGGCGCTTCATATGGTAATAATCTGTTAACCGAAGCTCTGGTCGAGAATGGTGTGGATACGAAGGGGCAGAAGGTCATTGTCGAGTTCTCATCGCCAAACCTCGGAAAAGCATTTACCGGCTTGCACTTGAGGAGTACGATCATTGGCGCGTTCATCGCCTCTGTCTACGAGAGGCTGGGGTGGAACGTGACCAGAATGACGTTTCTCGGTGACTGGGGGAAGCATATCGGACTTTTGGCTGCCGGCTGGTCCCGGTTTGGGTCTGACGAGCTATTCGATGCTGATCCCTTGCGACATCTGCTTGACGTCTACGCTCAGATCGAGGAACTGTTCAAAAAGGAGCAGGAAGCTGCTAAGAAGGTTCATGAAGGGGAAGACGACGCAGAAGTGAGCCACGAGATCGAAGCAGAGAGAGACGATTTCTTCAAGAAACTCGAGGACGGCGATCCAGATGCGCTGACCTTGTGGAAAAGGTTTCGCGAAGTCTGTATTGAGCGGTATACCGAGCTCTACGCCCGCCTTGGCGTCAGATTCGACGATTACTCAGGCGAGTCGGATGTCTCTCACGAGGCCATCGAAGAGGTTGAGAATGCATTGAAAGAGAACGGGGTCTACAGGGAGAGCGACGGTGCTTGGGTAATTGATATCAGCAAGACCGACGAAAAGCATGGAGCGGCCATTGCGAGATTTCGTAATGGCACGACAACCTACTTGCTGAGGGATATTGCCACCGTGGTGGAGCGGAGCAAGAAATATTCCTTTGACAAGATGATCTACGTGGTCTCGGCGCGCCAGACCACTCATTTCCAACAAGTCTTTAAGGCACTCGACTTGATGGGTCGGTCCGATCTGGCGCAGCGACTCGAACACATCGGCTTTGGCGATGTACATGGTTTGTTGCCAAAGGAAGGAGCCAGCGGGCTCTTGCTCAGTGACATCCTGGACCAATGTCGAGATGCGACCAAGCTGGCTCTGGACGCGGACGGAGATACTCTCCAACTCTTTTCTGAGGAGGATCCGGAGAGAGTTTTGAACGCTCTAGGTGCCATCAATCTTATGGCTGATGATCTGTCAACCAGGCGCGGCGGTACGTTCAACTTTGACCTCAACAAACTGGCAAACCCAGGGGATTATACTGGTTTGAATCTGCAGAAGTGGTACACGGGGCTCAGCTCAAAACTTAGCGGCGTGGAGATCGACCGTGCAGAGCTGGAGAGCACAGACTACAGCATGTTCGAAGGCGAAGACAATGCCTACGCCGACATTCTCAGACTTCTCGTCCAGTTCCCCGGAATCGTGAAGACTTCTTTCGAGAAATTGGAGTCCTCCCACATTCTGACCTTTCTTTTCAACCTCGTCGATCTCTTGCCAAATGTCTGGGAAGACGAGGCTGAAGCTGAAGGTTCATCTCGGAGCCTTGCCAAATTGGCCTTCTACAAATGCTTCCACGTTGTACTGGAGAACGGGATGAGGACGCTGGGGTTGGCGCCTCTGACCGCCTGATGCCCAAGAACAACCCTCCGGTTATTCCTCTTTGACCAGAGACTCTGCAGGCTTACGCAGCCCCTTTCGAGGCTTTTTCGATTATTTTCGTTACGAATCTGTACAGCGGAGCTGAAGAATTGTACGCTAAGTTAGACGTTGGGCATTCTGTCAATAGTTGGTTACTCGATGATTCAGATCTGTCTCGGGCTGCATTGACTTGTGCTATATTAGCGAGTATCCACACGGGGAGGCCGCTAGGATTTGTCAATTTGAGCCTCATTTCTCGCATCGAAAGTCCTGTACGGGCGGCCTCCATGGGATCCTGGAGGCTGAGGTTTCCCTTGGGGTTGTTTCTGTCGAATTCGACTGTACAAATCCCCACGCCCACGCGGCTTAGTACCTTCTTCAATTCGCTGATTAATGTTTCGGGCATCGAAAGGTCGCCTTGCGGAACGATTCCTTCCATGTGCCACCTTGCCCTAATGCCCCGTTGGAGCAGGCGGTGTTTGTTGACTGCCCAATGCCAGCCTCTAGCTTTATTCAATCCTGGGCTTGCCGCGATCCGGCTCTTCTAGAACCATTCTCAGTGGTGGTCAGTTGACATCGACCGGAAAGCCGGCCAACGCATTGTGCGTGCCACGCTATACTGTACACAGCACTTGCATCAGCTAGCTAGTGCCCAAGCACAACTTGTAGATGCCCGACTCGACAGAGCACCCAATTAGTATCTGTATCTGGTCCAGAGCCCAGTTAGCGGTTCCCAAACACACGGTATTGGTCTGTGGCAATAAGTGTGGCGAAAAGTCGTTTCTTGCCTCTTGGGCGTGGACGAAATGCTCTTTCCAGCCCCTGTCTCCACACATGCCAAAAAACGACTGATGGAGTTGTAGTGAGAATGGAGCTGCCGACACCGGCTTCGCCTCTCCGTGGTTGGGGAGGACCTCTCATCACATCCGTTGTGAAATCCAGCTGATGCCCAAGACATTTATATCATGTCTACATACGGGTTGGAATTACTATCCTCCCAAAGTCCAGGATTCCCCTTGCTCACTGCCTGCTTGGGAGGCAAATGCACCTGCAATCTGCACAGCTCAACACCGGTTTGGCAGTGCATCTGTCGACGGATGGTAGAGGGAATGTATTGCTCTATGGCTGCTCTGACCGGGCAGACGGCTTGTCGGCCCATGTCTATATCCACCCGCCATATGAGCGCATGCATATCTCAATGCCATCGGTGAGAAGACATTCTCGAGCCTGCCTGCACGTGTAACTCGCTCGGAGCTGCTCCAAACAGGATGACGATTGGACTCCTGTTGGCTGGTAAGTCGACCAGAGCGAGAACGTTCGACGCATGTTGCTCCAGCCTCACTTCTTCCCACCACTCACAAACTACCACGCATCGCTTTCTTGGACTGGTCATTGGTCGTGATTTTCTCTCCCCATTCGAATCCATGAGGCTCTACAAGGGTTATAGACTATGAGGTATTTCAACTGTACAGTATATACATTCCGTGTCTCTGTTCGCATTCCATCTGGAAATCCATGCTCGTCTTCTTGATCTGGGGCTGAGAAAGGCCTTTCATGAGCCATGGATCCTCGTCACCGTGGACTATATGTCCGGTCAGTTGATACAGTCCTCCTGACTCCAGCCAGCATCATTGCTAACAAGCCCTTAGATGGTGTCAGAGTCCCCGGGTCGAGTTGTTAGTCGGTCAAGATGTCGGCCAGAGTGAGAGATTTGTCATCCCTCAAGAGTTTCTGCAACGTCGATCGCGAACCCTCAGGGAACAAATCGCCAAGCTTGAAGAGTATATTTCATCAAAGGAAATTGCGCTCCCCGAGACTACCCCCCAGACGATGGAAGAGTTCTTCATCTGGAACTTCACTCCGAATCCACAGGTTGATGAACGGTTGAGTTTCAGAGACGTTGTCCAACTCGGAATCTTCGCCTGGAACTACCAGGTCTCCGCTTTGAGCAACCAAGTGACTGACATGATCCGCCACAATCTCGCGAACAATGAGTGGAAACTGGAAGCGGCTATAGTGGACGCCATCTACCAAGCAGCGCCCGCCAAGAGTCCACTCCGAGAGGTGATCAGGGCGGCGTTGGGCCAGCTGCCGCGCTCGTGTATCGACGGTGAAGAATGGGAGAGGACCTGGAAACGCAATCCAGACCTTGGGTGGGACCACCACAAATCTGGTGACAAGGAATGGACGCCCAAGGACTATCTGACTGGTTCTTGTCGTTTCCATAACCATGACGAAATCAAGCGTCGGCTGAGTCTATGTGATGGCTGCCCCTATGCTCAGGAGGATTGCTACCCTGTCTGGGAAGACGACCCAGAGGAGCAAGAATCAGAAGTCGAAGAAGTGACTGAGGGCTGGCCAGCAGCGGAAGACCACGTCATGGGGGAGATGATTCCCAACGACATTCAGCTGCTAGATGTGCCAAAGCCGATGGAGCAAGCAGTTGAAGAAGGGAGTGGACCCGCCGCCTCCGTCTTTGAAGATGCGCCTGAAGGTGTGCCCGAAGAGACCGGGGTCGTCGAGACCGCTGTCGAGACGAACGGAGTCACCGACCATGGGGTCCCCGCGGAGGTGATTGAGGATGGTGATGGCATAGCAACACCACACCCAGAAACCAATGGAGTCAAGAATATCCGTCTCGATGAAGTTCTGTTCGAGTCAGATGCATGCAGCGCCTCTCACGGATCAGTCCAAGGCGACGAGGGCCCGTTGGCGGTGAACGGGGCCGTGACTAATGGCCTGGAGGAGAGCGTCAACGGAGCCATGCATGTTGAGGCGGTGAACGGCCATGACATCTCCACAACGGGAGACAAAAAGAAGAAGGGCAAGAAGAGCAAGAAGAAGAGGATGGGGAGCATCAGCAACGGCAACGTCAATGTCAGCGTCAACGGGAATGAACCACAGCTCACCCCCAACTGATTTCAGGCTGGTTGGGCCAGACGGGATTTTCGACCAAGGAAAAGTACGGATGAACGGATGGATGGAGGGAGGACGGTATTTACTCAGAATGTATCTCCAGTCAAAGTCAATTTGCTGTTTTCATGTACGAGGCGTTAGGTACCTAGGTATGTAGCAAACAAAGTGGACCATTGGAAGGAAACGTTGCATTTCATTGAGTATCAGATCTACAGTGGCTCTTGGTACATCTTCTTGCACGGGACTAGGCAGCATACCTCCCCACAGCATGGACTGGAGACCCCTCTCCCACCCAGATGCGGGCGTGCGCGTGGGATTGGGAGTGGGAGTGGGAGTAGGCGTGGGCGTGGGAGTAGGCGTGGGCGTGGGAGTAGGCGTGGGCGTGGGCGCCCGCAAGCCTCATGGCCCATAGGCCCCATAGGCCCCATAGGCCCCAGGCCGCCTCCCCCACTGTCTACTTACATGGTCTGGCTGCACACCGGAAGACCGCCTGGCTGGGAGGTGTGCGTGACCGCCTCGTTGGCCGTCAAGAGGGCTCTGCGCTCTCGGATTCAAAAGGGCGCAATGGGTACATAGGCGCCCGGGGCTCTAGTATTGGATACGTAGGTAGTACGTGCCTCGTACTCGGTACTCGGTTCATACCTACAGTAGTAATAGCAGGAACCGATGTAGCTCGCGAGTTGTGTAAATCTGGCATCGCAACTTCCCCCCAGCCCGGGCTTGGTGGGTCCGGCCCGTCCCAGCAGGATGCCCAGTAATACTTGTTTGTAGTTTAGATGTCTTCCGTGGCCTAAGCCGCCTGCTCGGTACATAATGGGTGTTGATCAAGGCCGCTGTCATGGATATATGTATCAGCCCACCAGCCATATAAAGCCGTTGCTAGGAAATCCCGTCTCCAGGTGAGGCGGCCTAGCATCTTTCCTTTCGGATAATGTAACATATACGTATGGTCGCGAGTTGGGCACGACAAGAACCCCATCTCCCATCTCCCATCTCCCATCTCCCATCTCCCATCTGGATACCCTGTGATCTCATATACCTCCGGGCCTCCAAGCAAATCTGATTCCCAGTGAGGAGTAAACTATTGGACTCGGCGTACATTCTTGTTGTCTTTGAAGAACTGTCCATCCATGATTCCATGAATATATGTAACGCCAATCAGCTGGTAGTGGTCGCTCGGCAGAACTTGTGATTCGCATGGTGATGATGATGATATTGTTGTTGACCCTTCCCTCCTACCGAGAACCCTTAGCAGGCATGGTGCGGACACTCCAGGAATGAGTATACCCAGGTCGTTCACGCTGTGCTTGTCCTTCCAAGTGAGACCCATGGCTCCAGGGCCTGTCCGATACGATCTCGGTCAGTTTCCAGGCTATGCTGGATTGTTTGATGTTGTCCGTCAGCTGTAGGACCCCGACCGCGAAAAGTCATTTTCCACATTCTGCAAGAGGGAGTTCAGCAACTTTGCCGATTGAGGGCTTTGTAGACTCGGAGACATGGATTGGCTGTCAGCGACCATACAATCCGCTGTCCGCCTACGGCACAGAGCAGCACTGCAATGGCAGATTCAGGAGTATTGTATCCGCGCTTGGGTTCCGTGTCGCCGCCTTCCTCTCTGTCCGTGGGGTTCATGGCGGCTTCAAGCTGGTGAAACCAGTCAGCGAATGTGGCAGAAGTACTATCTGGCTCAAGGCTCAGAGATTCAAACGTAGATGCCGGATATGCATCATGGATCTATGTTGTCTTTAGAAAGACATATCTATCCAAAGTGACGCAGCCAGAGAGCGGCGGAATAGCTTTCAGCGTCGACCATCGCTGGGGACGGCCTTTGTCGGCGCGATACCCGCGACTAAAATCTTCGTTGATATAGGAAGACCAGTCTGGAAACCCCGAAGGCAGCTGTAAAGCTTTATCCTGAGTACTCGCTGAAACAAGAAAACCTGCGAGACAGCCTGTGCGTAACAAAACAAACGCAAAGCAGTCTCTGTAGATATCACATCCAGATCCTTGGAATAATTTGGCACGATGACCAATTCATCCCTATCAGTCGCAACCCCTGCCGGAGCATATCTATTATGTCGCATCTCAGTTGCATTCAATATATTCAATTTAATTTTTTTAGAAAGATCTCGTGCGGCATCCCCGGACGAATATAGTGGGGAGCGTCAGCAGGGAAATGTCCATGATATTTCAACGTCTTGATAGAGTCGACCATTGACAAACATTATGGCCCGAGCGGGTTACTGCGTGGTTCCCCGTGTGTGACACGCCATGCGAACGGAATCGCTATGGGCCGGTCAATCTCTCTTGCCACGCAGTCACCGCACACGAAATATCGTGCACATGCCATCTGCTGGAATATCCATATCCTAGACCAGTATAGTCCGGCACACGTATTCGCAAGGGCATTCCAATGGCTTGAGTCGTTCTTAATCTTGCTTGGCGGAAATCCTCCTTCCTTGGCTTCTTGAATAGCCCAAAGTAAACGATGTTGGATGATCAAAAGGTTGTCCCCCATTATTCAATACGGGGACTACGGTAGACTATATAGACAGTACTGGGTGGCTGGGCTGGATCACGTGACCTCCCAACCTTTTTAGTTCAACAAGCGAGACATCGTTTTGCCAAGCCCAGTCAAGGCTTCCAGTGCCAACTTGGAATCTTCAGAAGGTGGCCTAAGCTAGGAGGTTATGGCTTGAGCTCGGGAGTATATAGCAGCCATCTGCTGAACTTGCCACAACCTCTCCTGCCCGTCGCTCAGATCAATGCAGATGGAGAGGTCTCAATGAGAGAAATCAACAGGTGCCAGTAATGACGGAGATTTACGACAGGCTTCTCGTAGACTAAGCTGATCCCGGAACATTCGGCCAAGCTGATATCTAATCACTTGTTACGAGATGAAACTAGCGCTCGGAGGAACTTAATCGTGTTACTCTCAAAGGTTGGAACATGGATCTTCTTCTGGCGCGTAGCATCGGCCATGGCAAGAGTCGCACCAAACTTCCGACAGACTATAAGTGGTAGTGTGTGAACATTGTCCCTGGTTGTAGCTTCGAGAATGCATCTGCTCACGAGGAAGAAATCTTGACTTGTTTTGTCCAGACTCCGCTAAAGCCGGGATTTAGGTTGGACTGCCATGATAAGGTGTCACTGAGGGTTAGACTGCCTAGCATGCGACTTATAACGTAGATCAGGGTTTGTGCAAGGGATTATATGCTAGGTAGGTAAGCTCCCCAAGCCTGAGCATCTAAAGGTAGGCGTGGAATTTATTCTCGTGAGGATAGGACTAGGCTAGCAACTAGAGGCTAAACCGAAAGAACTCATGTAAGGTAGGGAATGAGGGTAGGATACAACATCGAGTAGGGAGGATCAACCTAAAGATTGTTTGAGCAAGAGCAAAATCTTGAGAGGCGGGGCAAGCCGGGTAGTGAGAAGCCTATCTTTGCCAGATCAATAAGCACCATATTGGGCCCCCAATTGAGTATATTTACATAGGATTAGCCAAGGCAACACTGCAACATCCAGGGCGCTGAATTCTGATGAAACGGTTAGTGTGATACTTCCCTTACCTCGCTTTCAACCAACGAATCAACCATCCCGTGCCATCCTTGTGGTCGATGTGGAGTCCTGGTTCTTGTCACGCCATGGCCTTTACAATGCTGCCGGGAAAGACCAAGCAAGGTCCGGCCAAGGCCCCTGGATATCCATCAACTCAGACCAAATCCATTTCCTCTCGAGGCCTACTTTGCACGGGATGACATCACCTCCAGGCCGCCAACAAGCACTCCTTTGCTTCTCCTGTATGGGAAACCTCTTTGGCAAAAAAGCGTGGAACGAATGCTGGGAGAATCGGCGTCTTCACGGCAATGGGGTCTCGTTCAGCACAAGTGTTTCAAACTTGATGACCGGTGCTGCGCATAGTTGTGTGCTCTGCGTACACATACTTTAAAAGTTTCCCCAGCGACTGTGAATATGTCCATCAAGATCAAGTCTCAGTTTATTGTGTCACAAGGCGTACGCCCAGAGAAGGTTGATCTGTTAGTCTTCGCTATACGGGGTTCATCTACAATAGGTCATTTCTCGTATGCTGCTGTTTCTGCTGAATCTGGTACTTCAGGATCTTCAAATCATTCAGAATACTGCTGGATTAACACATTGCTAGGAACCCTTGCTGCTCCTTATTTTCGCACCCCCCCCCCGCGGCGGACCGTGGCAGCGCAATCCAGAACTTCGAGCCCAATACCGTAAAATCATGGATCAACGAATGCAAAACCTCTCACAGCGAGTGCTCAGAGCAAAGACTAAGCTATATGCCTACCCGATTGCTCCATGTGGCGCACAAGGATTCCCCATCTGTCAAGCTCAGTATCTTATCTGGGAACGAACGCCATCAGTATGCCGCGCTTTCTTATTGCTGGGGAAGCGCTCATTCCTTCACGACTACGATAGCTTCAATGAAAAGGCATATCGGTGGCATAGATATCTCGGACTTACCTCAGACTTTCCAAGATGCCGTCCTTGTGGTTCGACTGCTAGGAATTCGATTCCTTTGGATGGATGATGTGATCGAGAAGCTATCCCACATGCTGTACTACTATCAAAATGCATTAATTGTGGTAGCTGCATCGAAAGCAAAGAACGTTACGCAAGGCTTTCTAGATTGTCGTCGGGTTGACAATACTAGCAGCCAAACCACTTTAACGGGAGATGAGCACGAGGGTCCACCAGCAAAAGTTCCGCTCTTTGACCTGAATGGCTTCCGAGGCAGCATTTTCTTGCGACTGGATCGCCCTCCTCAAGAATATGACAGCGATCCTATTAACCGTAGAGCTTGGACATTCCAGGAACACCTCTTGTGCCCACGCGTTCTCAGCTTCCCATCAACTGGAGGTTATTTCTTTCAATGCGAACGGGAAGGGCGTCACGACGGCTCAGTACACGCTCCAGGTGCCTTTAGAAGTGAACGAATGTATTCACATGGACTTGCGATATTCCGGAATCTAAGACTGATAATCCCCACGAGGCCTGGTTGATGCACGTCAGACGGTACAGTGGCCGGAGCTTGTCTATCCCAGACGACAAATACAACGCCATTGCTGGCATTGCAGAAGCATATCACGATAAATTCCGTGGCTACCTTGGATATTACATCGCTGGGCACTGGACAAAGCACTTAATGACCAGTGGTATCCCAGTTTACACGATAAACTTCGGAAGTCTGACAGCCGGAAAAAGGTCAGGCCCCCTTCCGGGTCCTGGATGTCCATGGATGGTGCAATTACGCCTTTATCCCCTGATATCCTGCACAAAAACTATACTGAGTTGGCCAAAGTCTTGCATATAAGAGCCGAGCTTGTCACAGAGAAATTACCGTTCGGTCCAGTTACAGTCGCCTCTTTGTCGCTGGAGGCAAAAATCGGTAAAGTTCTTTGGTGGGCCGAAAAGCGACGTCCATACTTGTCTTGGCTGAGCTATGAGAGCGGTGGACCGATAGAAGGCGCTCTGTCAAGTGCCGATAGCACTGAAATATTAGATCACAAGGAGCCCGTCTATGTCCTACCTCTGTATTGCAGGCTCGGCTTCGGTGCTTCATGGGCTCCTTCTGCAGCGTGTTGAGCCAAATTATAACAGTCTCTACGAAAGGGTCGGACATTTTTGGAACGCCGAGAAACGGCTTCTGGATGTATGTGTGCCAAAGACTAGCATATCCATCATCTGAAAAGATACGTCGCTTTGAAAGAGCCCCGGGAATTTATGTAGGACTTCGACATGTATATCTTTGAGTAGGTGCAATTGACCGTAAATTGTCCGATGTGTTATGGGGACGACAGACGACGCATAGTGGTTCGGTATCCACATGTAGCGACTTCAGGAGCAGAACTCATCCATCCCTGACTGATATAACTCTTAGTGAACCGCGAAGCTCGGCTTGATCATAGATAGCGATGCAGAGCGAAGAGAAGCGAGCGAGGTGGTGGGCGGTGAGCCGGCCTGCTTGTACACAAGATCCCTGGTTGCGAATTGTCACCTTTCCAGATGAACCTGGGTTCCAGACATATTTGCAGCCTTGGAAAGGGCTTTGGAAGGAGATTGACTGCTGACAGACTGGAATACGAGAGTACTTAACTGGATCTCTTCGCATTTCAATTCTACGACTACTGCGCGTCACTGCCGACTTCTCTTGGAGAGTGATGTTTCGAAGCCCAGTATTCTGGCCCATGTCCATCACTCCCACCCCCCACCCACCGCCACTCTTTCCCCTTTGCTCTTATCTTCCTTGATGTGATACTGTAATTACTGCACTTACAGCGGTGCAGCCACTACAGCGAATCCTCTTCCCGTTCCAGGCTTCTACGTGACCTTGGCCGGCATTGGTCGTAACTTCAGTATATCTACTAATCCGCCAAAATTAAACCCCTCCGAAAACTGAGGCACCAACCTCAGATTTCTGCAGCATTTATTTTTTGGAACGATAGGAATAGATGCATACTGCATCGCTCCCGAAGTAGGAGCCACCAGATGGACCTAATGGCAGATATCAAGACCAGGCCGACAACAAGACAACACTCTTGATCATCTTTCTCAAGACCATGTCTAAGATCGCCCAGGGCTCGATCTTTTCAACCGGAACACACCCTTCAAACAACCCCATCCCCTTGTTGTGTTGTAGTTTCGGCTGCCTGCGTAAAATTGTTCGAATTCAAGTGGAAGGGATGCAACCTCTTCTGGCACCCTAAAAGGCAAAACTGAGCCAAGGGCCGGCTTAATCTCGGCTCGGCTATGATGAGGCAGCACTGCCTGCAGCTGGATTTACACTCGGTCTCTACTCTCTGCCAGTTCGTATCTTTTTGATCTTCCCCAAATCGCAGGGACCTTCATATTGTTCTCTTGAAATTTGTTCACATTGACTCGATTTAAGGGCGAGATATCTTGCTACCGGATCTTTGCCACAAGCGAGGGAATATGTAACGCGACACGAAACAACGGCGGTTGGGCGACACTCGTCTTCAGCTTCTGGGCACCTACCGTGGGCAACAGGCAACCATTCCGTCCTCCACCGCATAATACATTCTACCACTTCACTCGACCGAACTTCGTTTGCAACACTCTCCCTACGAGGTCAAGCCTTCTTAAGAGCCCTTGTAGGCAGTGAACTCCTCCAGAACACGGCGCCCCTCAAATTGTAGACAATCTTCCGATTTCCAAACGCCTTCTTAACTCTACCACGGACGGACCCTAATGACGGATAATCCGTTCCAAACCCGTACTATGGCAACTACTTGAGAGAACGAATGCATCAGAGACCTAGATGATCTACGGCTGCAGAAATACGCCATCAAGAGGAAGAAGAAATCAATCGATTCCGTGAAAGCAACATGCAGTAGGCGTTAGGGATTGGCCTAAAAGAACCAGGAGGTTGCAAACTCGAGGAGTTCTGTGATCACGGAAGGCGACTCTAGGGGTCCCTGCCTGAAGGTCTATTTCAATATGACCACTGCAGAAAGAGTATATCTCGGCGATGTTAATAATGCTGCATTAGCGATACAGGGAGATATCCACGCTGGGGGAAACATCAACATTGGTAATGTATATTCCAGGCCATGCTTGACAAAATTTGAATCTAACCGTTGCACATTCCTATCGCAGTTGTGAATGAAGCTGCATCTTTCAACAGATTGTTGTATGAAGCTCACCCTTCTCTCGGCCCTTTACAACCCCTGATTACGGAGACGATTCAGAAATTGCTATCTGTGGCCACAATTACAAATTCGTACGAGAGGGAAGGACTTATTCCAGATGAAGATCGCCAGTACCTTGAAGACATATCCAAACGATGTAAAACAGATATCGACCAATTGAGAGAAATACTGGCCGAAATTCAGAAATGGGAGACATTTGCTCAGAGAAGAGATGAAGTGAAAGTAATCAACGCAAATTTGGCAAAGATTGTTGGAGATCTGAATGCTGTCAACGCAAATATAAGGTATGCTTCCATTTCTGTTTTGCGGAAGTTGTTACTCCAAGCTTATGTGTTTACGGATCATCTACTTCCATGCTCGAGAGAGCTTTACAAAAATATATTTGTGAAGTTAGGGATGGGCAGCAGCGCGCTTCTTCCACATTGACGTACTATACTGCAAATTCCTTGTCCGCACCTGATGAAGCCACATGGAAAGAACTTCGCAGAGCACTCAATGGACACGGAATAACCATTGATATGATTGACAACAACCGAGAGTTGATCTCAGCACAACTAAGTCAACTTCTCAACTCCGACAATAATCTAGAAATAAACACACCCAGAGGCAGCACAAAAGATACGTCTACAAAAGACACGTCTACAAAAGACACGTCTACAAAAGACACGTCTACAAAAGACACGTCTA